AGTTAATACCGCACCGCAGCGGCGGGTTCATTCGACAGATGTGCGGCAACAGTAGCTAGACTAGACCAGACCAGACCAGACCAAGCCGGCTGGTCGACCAGTTCAAGCGACAAGCACGGCTCCAGGGACAAGCCAACGCCAGTAGCGACTGAGACACCGCGGATTAGTCATGATGGCCCGCGGGTCTTCAATAACATGCTTAATGCCATACAAAGGGCTAGCCAGCCAGACAGGACGGCGAAGGGACAAGGTGCGTCATGGTCTCTCATAAGGCAGGGTCTGCTGGTCCTTTGCGATACGATGTCCGTGGCAATGACCTCAGCCCAGCTGGAGGGTTCCTCGCGACGTACATAAGGGAGAAGGATGGTGCGCTACTGAGAGATTGCGGCTTATGTGAGGCTAGATCTCATCCACCCACATTTGTAGTCCCCCAAAAGTAGCTCACGTTGTCCGCACATCGGAGGTTTCAGTTCGGCAGAAGCAAGGCACCGGGTGCAGACTGGGTGCCGGGGCGGCGGGGTCGCCGGCGGTGGATATTGGACGGTGGACATTGGACATTAGACAATGCTGGGTTGAGAAGGGAGGTTTACGTGTATGATGCTGAACAACGGCCAGAAGCTAAACACCATGCCGGCGTGGTAGAAAGTGTCCAATTCTCAGGTCCGATATGTTGATGTTGTGGAGAGCAGCTGGTGGAGAAGAGAAAAGGTTCAGACGTTACCGCCTTGGCGACGACACTGATGATGGTAAACTCCTGCTACCTACACTAGTGTGTCACTGCTAGTTTGGTGCCTCAACAACCAGCTTCGTATTGGCCGGCAGTGGCAGCCCCAGATATCCAGAGTGGGCAACGAGAGTTGATGAGTCGCTGGCCGCATGGGGGTTCACATTGCCTAGGAAGTTTGGGTAGTGCGCACCGGCCGGTCTAGATCGAGTCCCCTTCTTCGGCGGGTGCTGCACTTTAAGAGTGGAAGCCGCGTACAGAGGGAGTTTGGAATCAATGGCTTGACCGGCGTGCGTCCCCTTCTCACGTCGGGTTGGACTCGCTTGTTGAAATGGCCGGGTTCGATACAATAAGGGATGGCCGTAAAAGAAGCAAGAGGAGCAGCGGGAGCCACGCGAAGAAAAATGATCAGATGCTGCTGACCTCTCGTGGCCCAGGTGAACCTAAAATCCGTCATTAGCGTCGCATGAAAAGGTCATGAGACCTGTTTGTATCCAGAAAAAGACAGACCGAACCCTGGGGCTGCGGCGCAGGACGGGTCAGGTAGAGGGGTACCTTTGTTAACAGTTCCCACAGCACAATCCACAACACTTCAGGCGCAACTTGCCTTGCAAGCCCGCAGCCCGCAGCCCGCCGTGCAGCCGCAGGTGAGAGGGAGGTGAGCTCTATCCACTGCCCAGTCCATGTCTGTCGTCTGTGAGCCCTCCAGTGTCTTCCCCCCCCTTCCCAAGTTCCCGCCGTCAGGCTAGGCCCTGCCATTGGATGACATTCTGTCGCAGGCGTGTCTAACCGTTTCCGGGCGAGGCACGTCACATGCTTCGAGAGCTTAGGTAATGTCCATTTCTCAGGCCGGCCTTACCATACCAACACTCGATTATGGGGCACGTGGACAGGGGCCCATGAACCAAGAACAACGTGACCAGAAGAAGTCTCCAAAGAGTCGGGGGCTGAGAGGGTCAACCATCAAACCGAACAAACGGACGGAAATAGTCACATCGTTATTTGCTGAGGTCCGATACCTATGGTGGCCAAGAGGCTCAAGAACCGATGCGGCTCAAGCCTGCATGATTCAACGACGCAGGTCCTCGTCCAGCCAGCCCGTGGAGTCATTCTCGATGCTGCCATTGTTTCTGCTGCTGCAAGGTTTGGGCGCACGTTCCGTTGAAACTCGAGGCCCAAACAAGGAGCCGGAGCTTGGACTGGCCATGACTTGGAAGCCACCCGCGAAGATCGAGGTGTTGGATACGCTGGCCCACGTCTGCGAAGCACTGCATCGAGAACCAAGAGCGTGGCATCGGTGGCTGCTAAAACAGGACAGCGCACCTGCTTACCTGTGACCGGTAGCTATTCCGGTACCGATGCTCTTGTAACAATTAGACAGACGTTGGACGAAAGTCGACCACCGTTGTCGTTGGACTCGTCTGCGACGGCCACCAATTATTAGTCGGACGAATGAATGCAATGCCTGTTCAAACTCAATGGCTTTGGCCCCCCTCCTTCCTCGAATAGTCCAAACCCACACATCATCAAGTCGACCTGCCGCTCCTGACTGTTGACAGCTTTCACCTATTGTTTGCAGAGTCCTACGCCACGCTGCCCGGTTCTCCATCGCACCGCCTGCATCTCGATTCCAACGGAGAAACCAAATCGGGGGTGGGATCCTGCCACATATATTACAAACCGCCCGCGCAGCAACCCCCCCCCCCCCCCCCCACTTGGCTCTGACCAACTAGGTATGCGTTGGACGGGATTGGCGTCGAGTCTTGCCTCCATCAACCACTTGGTTTCCGGCGACCTGACGGATGGTTTCTGCGCTACCTCTGGCTTTGGAGAAACACCAAGATGTCGGGCTCCACCCCTACCACCAGACGCCCCTCCCTCAACGAGACGCGAGCCACAACGACTCCTCCTCCTGGGCTCAAAGCCCCGCACTTGGCCGTCTCCTCCACACAGAGGCACGTCGTCATAGGACCTTTGAACAAGTCTCTTTGGCGGGGTTGGGGACATTGCAAGGAGGGGGGTCCAGAAGACTAGGAGCCAGAACAGACGCAGAGTCTCCGTTTCCAGAGCTGAAGAGTCCACAATCGGTTGGCGAGAGTCTTTCAACTCCATCAACGGGCGAGGAGCGCGATTGCTTGCTTTGCCCGTTTCTTACCACGTCCTTGGTTACCAGTCGATAGCAGAGCACACACCACTGTCGGGCAAGCCACGGGAGCTCTGACCAGTGTTGACGCTCCAGCTCTATCCCTCCCCATCCCGCCAGCCCTCCCTCCTCCTTCTCGAGTCTCGGCGAGGTTCAACCCAGCGAGTGCATCCCTGCTCGTGCATTTCAAGACAGTCGAGCAAAACGTCAGAAACCATTGGGGCGCGTGCGACTCCATCCGAGTGCAGAACATGCGCTGCGGGCGAACACCAATATCAAAAGAAGCCAAACACAAAAATTCTCTTCCCATCCAGCGGTAAGACCGGGGGTCTGCAACTTGGCTGCACTGGTGGCTATGCTTTCTCATCTGTCCGCAGCCCGGTTTGAGAGACGTTGTCGGCAACTGGTCTAGGCCACACTAGCATCGGCAAAGCTGTGCATGCTCTGTCTTCCGTGTGTGAACGCAGGCAAGGCATAACTGACTCAGCGTCCTATGTCTGAGAATCTTTGCCACGAACCGTGGGACTCAACCGTAGAGGGAGCTATGATAAAAAACAAGCAGACGAGATGGCACTGCAGAGATGGCACTGCACCGCCAAAAAAAACCAAAAAAAACCAAAAAAAAAAAACCAGCACTCGTCCATAGTGGTGCATTCCTATATTTCACCGGGACGATTCCGTCTACGATGGGCGGAGTGTCCAGCGGCTGTCGGAGGTGGCGATACCCAACCCTGTGGTCCTGCAGCTGTCTTGACGCTACTTTGGTCTTTGGATCTGGGAGACTCGCTGCAAACTTATATCTATGTACCAGGGATAGCCTGTCAGAAGCGTGCAGGGCCGATCCCAATGGCGTCCTCCTTCCTCTTGCTTATTTGTAGTAGGCCAATGAGTGCAAGGAGAAAGTCAAAACCAAACACTCGGTCAAAGAGCAACGGACTGGCACGAGTGAAAGCGGGCAGCAGGTCCAGTGTCGACGGAGGTTAGCCTTTGGGACCGGAGCGGAGGGAAAACGTCGTTCAGGGTGGAGGAACCGCGCGAGTATTGGACCCTGCAGGATCGGGGCCGCTCAGCAGGTCGGCGGCCCTCGAGCTCGAAGCGCATTGGTGCTTGGTTAGTGTGTGCCACAGGTACTCATGTCGACTGTCGGCTGGCGTCTTGCAGTACTGGGCCGGTACGCATGGAAGACCCAGCTGGTCAGCTGGCCGAAAGGTACCCGACAGTACCTTGGCGAATGACAGTGGCCTTCGTGTGGATGTTGGTGGACACGGCCCGTCGTGACCTAAGGCACGGCAGACGTGGGATCAAGACTGGAGAGTCAGCAAACGGGAAGAACCAGCTGCCATGAGGTAGAGTGAAGGATTCTCGTGAAGATCAGAAGCACTTCAAAACAGCTAGGGGAAACAAGAAAGAAGAGAAGGGGAAAGAAGAGGAAAAGAAAAGAAAACAAAAGAAGAGGAAAAGAAAAGAAAACAAAAGAAGAGAAAAAGCAGAGGAAAAGACGCTGAAGTAGAACGCATGGGCTGGTAGATGGTCGTTCAGGGAAAAAGGCAGTTGCTGCCACAAGAGCCCCAGCCTATGTTCGGCCTCTCCTGTCATGGGATACATCGACCAGCATCTTCCTTCATCACCTGCTTGTGGCAAAAATTGTCGATGACAGAGATGCAACCCGAGCATCTGCGTTGGTGAAGATAGCCGGTAGGTACATAGGAAAAGTAGGAGCATCTTGCCTCGGGCACCAGCAATAGCTCGCACCTGCAGAAAATACATTGCGATTTGAGAACCCAAAGACTCTCTTCCTGTCAGGTAGGCACGCAGACGCGTACGACCTCACGTCGAGACGACAGCGACAGGCACAGGCCCGGCAAGTAAGGTGAGGTGTAGCGTAGTGCCACCCCCCAGTCGACGCAGAGGTACGTACCGACCTGATCTCCTGGTGTTTGCTTCCCTTGTTGTCCAGGTTGGCAGGACCTGGGAAAGTGCTTGACAGCAGCTAGCAGCAATAACAGCATGAGCGTCCATTGGGTTTTTGACTTCCGCTTGCCGAGTTTTAGCGCCTGCCTCCCCGTCTCAAAATGAGCACATGAGCAAGCCTGGTGCAGCGGGTCCTTGTCTAGAGGGGACGACGATGAAAGGCTAACCGGCCGAGCCAGTCAAGCAGTGTCCCGCCGTTGCTCTGGTCTCCTTCTGCATGTCTCGCCCGCCGAATTTCGATCCCGACGTCGTCGAGGACCAGGACCTGGACGTGAGCTGTACTGGCTCTTGCAGGTCGTGCATGTGCACCGGCCTGCGCTTGTCGAGGTTGAATTCGCGCATCCTGTCTCTGAGTTTTGGGCCAACTTGACTTTTTTTCGTCTCAATGTGATTCAGGGCCCTGTGCAGCACCGACGATGATGCGTGGCTGTCTTTGTTGGTGGTCCGAGAGAGAGGAGAGAAGGGAGAAGAACGACGCCTCCACTGTCTTGCTGACCGTTGAGTGTCTGTCTGAGTGACCTGACTTGGCTTGTGCCGACTCGAGGTGAATCATATTGTCCTCTTTCCCATCATTCATGTTAGGTATTGGTTCTGCCCCTGAGCGGTGCACCTCGTGTCTCGAGCTCAAGCAACGGCCTTGTTCAGAAACATACCGACGCGACTTGCTCGGTGGATCATCTCGCGAATCTGCATTGAGTTGAGGCCGACTCAACGAATTGACGATCTGCAGCCCAATACCACCTCCGACCCCAAACCCAAGAAGCTACCTACAGTACAGAGTACCGGCCACCACGTTCCCTTTGGGCTCCGCCTTGCCTCGCCTTGCCTTGCCTTGCCGTGCCCGTACCGCACTCGTAGCCCATCCATACTTCCCGGCACCTCGAGAACGGCGCGCCGGCCTGCCCTGTTCCATACCCTGGACTGGGCCTCCGCCGCCCACTCTCAGTCGCCTCCGCACGGTTTGCTCTCTCTCTCTCAAACCGACACCCTCGCCTCCTGGCAACATGCTATGAATAACCTTAGCTATTTTCCACTGTTGTAGCTGTTAGATGTCATGGATGTATATCGGTCGAAGAAGCCGTGCTGGAGCAGCCCGTTTTACTCAGCCCTTGGGTTTTTGCAACTCGGGAACAAGAACCAGGAGAAGCAAGAAAGCCGGGAACAGAGGAGAAAGGGGCGCGTAGCATCACTTGCTTTGAGAGCATCCTACGGTTGACAGCTCGACACACGGGAAAGGGAAAGGACGTTCATCGGGGATTGGCCGGAATATCCTGATGGGATTGTAGAGGAGCAGCAGCAGCAGCACGACGACTTCTTTTCCTGTGGCTATCCTTTTCCATGCTCTACGCTTTTTTGTATCTCTATTATTTCTAATTACCGACTGCCTTACCTACTGCTCTCCCCTCTCTCACACCCCCTGGACCAGTTAGTAATTGGACTTGGGACGCACTCCGTCATTCCTTGTCCAGCTGCGCGCGCTAGTCTGCCCTGCCGTGTGGTCCGCGAGGCCTCAAGTCCAAAAGAACAAGAAGCACGAGCCACCCCGGTTGCCCCTCTTTGCAAAGTACCTCCCTACCTCTCCTGCTCTTCTCCTGCCTTGGCCTCGTAGCCCAGTACTTCATCCCTCCACCACCGTCCACGTCTTTCCCACCACAGGAGCCAACCCACCTCGCGCTTCTCTAAACGGCGTGACAACATCCTCCTTCTCCCACCTCTCGGGTACCCGAACTTGTGCATCGCTTTTCCTCTGCCCTTTTCCTCTCTCACAAACGGCTTCCGCTGTCGATATCCCTCGTCTAAAAAAAAAAAAGCCCACGCAGAGTTGTTGACGACCCTCCATCTCGCCCCGTCCTCGCTCGAACCGATTCGCCTCTGAACCCACGATCTCGTCTCTGTTCTCGCTTGGACAACAGCTGTCTCGGTCCAGCCACCCAAACAGAGCAGCCAGCGCCTCTGCTCCGTTCCTCTCTTCCCACTCCCACTGCAATTTGCAGCCACCGCAGCTACTTGGAAGACAAGAGGTTCCCCTCCCGCTCTCCCGCTCTCATCCTCTCCTCTCATCTCGTCTCTTTCTGCAAATCCCGCCTCTGTGGACAATCGCCAGTCCTTGTGAGTAATTCTTGTCCTCCTCATCCCAACCCCACCGACCTACCCTGCCTGTGTTGCACGGGGGCAGAAACATCACGATCCTTGAGCTTGGTCGGCCTGCCCCTCAGCGACGTGCTGTGCCGTCATCACCACATTCCCCCCCTTCCCGTCCCGCCCACCACCACCATCACCACCTCCTCTAGCACTACCTCCGCCGCAACCCTCCCCCCGACACCACCACAGCCTACCGTACCTTGCCCTGTCTCTCGGCCCGTCGTCACCAGTTCACCCACATACGAGGAGTGGTCTTTGCTCTGCTGTGACCTATTTCCCCCATGTAAGGTAACTGTAGCTGCCTCGCGCTACTAGTCTGCACGTACCTGGCATTTTCCCTCCGCCTGAGCGAAAAATCACCTCACTACGTGCTGCATGCATAGCGCTACGCATATACACACTGCCCACCCCCCCCTCCTATCCTCTGTTCTGTCCTGTCCTAATCCTGTCCTGGTCTTGTCCTCCTGCTCTGGCCTGCCCTGCTCTCTGCTACCTTGCCTACCTTACCAACAACCTTTGTTTCCTTCGCTCCTCGACTTGCCACCATTCGTCCTGCATCGTCGCCATCATTCATATTCCCCTGCCCTGCCACTTTCTTCCTCTCCCTGTCAAACCACCTCCCGCCCCGCACCCCTCGCCCGTCATCCTCGTTCATCACTGCTCGTCGCACGACACGCCAGTACCCTGCCCATCTTCGCCCTATCAACCACGATCGACATCTTCGATTTTTTCTCCAAATTTCTCGGCCACCCTGCTAATGAAATCAAACAAGTCCTTGCAGATTGCTCGTCGACCTCGATAGTGCAATTGATTTCAGTACTCGGGGAAGCCTCAACCGATACCCGACACGAATCCGCTGCCGTTGTCGCTCCCCTTCTCAGCCCCATCTCGCGACCACACCCTACGTCCACATCTTAGGCTCTCGGAACAAGCAATTGGCTTGTTGGTTTCCATACTTGAATCTCGTGCAATCGTCTTTGCACGAATTCTACATTAGCGAAACAAAGTTGTAGTCCCCTGCTGCCCATCACGGCTCGCCTTCGAATTTCGAATCCGTTACCCCTCATTCCTGCCGACCTCACTTCGCCCAACGTCGGCCTACAATAGCAGGGCTTTTGCCGTGCTGACAACACCTTCCGAGCCATGGCGCAGAATCGCCCCGCCGCCTTTAACACTCTCAGGATGGGAGGTAAGCAGTGGCAATTCCCACCAGCAACCTTTCGCTGCCATGCTAACGCGCGCTCCAGAGGTTATTCGCGAGAAGGTCCAGGATGGAATCACTGGAGAGACCAGAGACCTCCAATATACACAATGCAAGATTGTGGGCAACGGCTCTTTCGGCGTCGTCTTCCAGACCAAGCTCTCGCCTTCAGGAGAAGATGCGGCTATCAAGCGTGTCCTCCAAGACAAGCGATTCAAGGTCTGTGACACTCGCCCTGTCGGCCTTCCAGCTGCGGTGTGCTGACAGCAACTTCAGAACCGTGAACTTCAGATCATGCGGATCGTCCGGCACCCCAACATCGTACAGCTCAAGGCCTTCTACTATTCCAATGGCGAACGTGTAAGGCGCCTTGCCCGGTACCAGAGGGCCCCCTGGCTAACCCAGCGTAGAAAGACGAGGTGTACCTCAACCTTGTTCAGGAGTTCGTGCCCGAGACGGTCTACCGCGCGTCCCGCTTCTTCAACAAGATGAAGACGACAATGCCCATCCTGGAAGTCAAGCTCTACATTTACCAGCTTTTCCGCGCTCTTGCCTATATTCACTCTCAAGGCATTTGCCATCGTGACATCAAGCCTCAAAACCTCCTTCTTGACCCCACGTCAGGCATTTTGAAGCTGTGCGATTTCGGCAGCGCCAAGATCTTGGTCGAGAACGAGCCAAATGTGTCGTACATTTGTTCACGGTACTACCGAGCGCCAGAACTCATCTTCGGCGCCACGAACTACACCACCAAGATTGGTAAGCCAACTGAATTCGAGCGACGATGCGTTCCAACCCTAACTTATGCGTAACAGACGTTTGGTCCACCGGCTGTGTGATGGCAGAACTCATGCTCGGACAGCCTCTCTTTCCCGGAGAATCAGGCATCGACCAGCTCGTCGAAATTATCAAGGTCCTTGGCACGCCTACACGAGAGCAAATCCGCACGATGAACCCCAACTACATGGAACACAAGTTCCCGCAAATCAAGCCGCATCCCTTTGCCAAGGTCTTCAGAAAGGCGGATGCGAACGCGATCGACTTGATCGCGCGCCTCCTCGAGTACACTCCGACAGAGAGACAAGCGGCCGTCGAAGCCATGATTCATCCGTTCTTCGACGAGCTGAGAGACCCCAACACCAGACTGCCCGACTCCCGACACCAGAGCGGAGAAATTCGGGACCTACCCCCCCTGTTTGACTTTACCCGCCATGGTACGTGCTAAACTTGAAGATCGCGTTGGTAGCGCAGCGTCTAACACAGCTACAGAACTTTCAATTGCCCCGAACCTGAACCACCAGCTGGTGCCCCCTCACATGAAGCCCGTCTTGGCCGGAAGAGGATTGGACATTGACAACTTTACTCCGATCCCGAAGGCGGACATGATGGCCAAACTGGATTGAGCAAGCCGAGGTCTTGTCCAGGGACTCAGCGCACTCGTGGATCGTCCCCGACTATTCTCGGCCGCAAACCTACTGTTCGACCAGCGCATACCGAGATGGAATTCGTGCATGGAGCGCAGGGGCATTGCCCTCCACCCAAGATCCGACCAAATGATGATTAGATGTTGAATGTGCAATGACGATCGGAAGCTGAGCTGCGTCGATCGCTAAAAGCGCAGGGGCTTACTGGCGAGGCTGTGCGAGCTGCTTGCGCTTCTCGAAGTGTCAACCGTCCTGCGATGGCACAGAGGAGGCGTGGCAAGAACCGCCCACCCCCTAGGCATGTCTCCTGATTTTGCGACATGTTGCTAACCGATTGATTGGGGGGCTGCATCGCTGCAAATCGCAAAAGGCGACGTCCTGGACCACATTCTGATACATGACCCAAGATGGCTTTCACTTTGTTCTTCCTCATGTTACCGAAAACGCTTCCCTACATTACGGCAGGCGGTTGTATGGACGGTCCAAGCCTACCCTTTTCTCGTCTTTTCATCACTTCGTAAGGTCCGGCGGGGCTTCATGGCTTCTCAGCACTCGGCAGATGCGTGGAGGACTTGCTAAGGATGCTGTGGAGGTAAAACCTCTTATGGTTGTTGGCAGAGGACGGCGGAAGGCATGGAGTCGGGATGCCCTCTCCTACTTGTTGGGAAGTGAGCGGCAGGTCTGGATTGGTATTAGGCATGATTCCGAGGAAAAGATTTCAGATTTCTCTGTTTATTCATGGCGACGCAACGATGGCGAGCCAAGGAGGTCAATTAAAAGGGTTGGGACTGGCTACTTTGCTCAGACAATGGGAAAGAATGCTTATGTTATGAATCTGGTTTTGAGTGGCCGAGCAGGATAAATGCTAGGCACTTGACTCTTCTCTCACACAAGGCACTGCTTCATCACCGTTATTCCTGTCCCCTCTCGTTTCCAGGTGCCACCAAAAGTGCTCCGGAACGACTTCAGAGGACGAGTAAGTGCCATCCACATCTTTTACTACCGAAAAGATGGGTTAAACTGAGCTTTGGTACCTGGCTAGGTACCTTACCTTGGGAGCTACCATTGGTTCAGTACATTGCGTACCCCAGAGCATCTTCTGCCTCAGGCAACCATGCGCCGCCTCTTCACGAGCAGGTGCTCCCAGGGCCAATCGACGCGGCAGTCCACCTATTTGCAGGCGTTGCTAGCAGGGGAAGCTTGTCTCCTTCCGCCATAACTTTTTGACGGATCCTACTTCGAGGCTACTAACACTCACCAGGAGCTTCACCTCGGCCGACCCATTGGCCTTTACAAACATCTTGCTCCTCCACGGTACCTTACGCAATCACTGCGTCCGCAGCTTATTGACATGGGCGACTACGAGAGAAGGCGCCACGGCGGCGGCGGCGGCGGCGGAGGCGGAGGATACAACAACAGGAAGAGAAGGTATCGAGGTAAGCTTTCCTCTGCTGAACCATTTGCCTGTTTCAGCGCAAGCTCACCAACCGTCTCTGGCGGCAACAGATGACGACGACAATGATCACCGACAGTCGCGACGAAGAATCGACACTGCGCCTCTACCCGTAAGGGTTCGCAGACAGCTCCTCTCTCTTGCCGAATCCCCTCTCCGCCGATGGCACGAGGAGGTCCAGGGTATCGCCCACGTCGTTGCCGACAACGCAGAGGACACTGAGCTTCGTGAAAGCTTCATCGGTCTCGTCCTGCAGCTCGCGTTGGAGCAGCCACTCAAGACGCCTTTTGTTGCTGGCGTAATTCTCCTGGTGAACACGCTCAAGCCTGAGATTGTAGACGAGATCCTTGCGAAGCTGAGCGCCGCGACGCAGGAGAAGATTCAATCCGGTGAATGGAGGGACGTGAAGCTCTATCTAAAGTTGTTGGCTTGCTTGCAGAGCTCCCTGGATGGCGAGGGAATATTCCCCGTCCTCGAGGAGTTGTTCGGCCGGGCTGTCGACTTGCAGACCGCAAGCTCCGATGACGTAGGCGCCACCCTAGACTCCGTTCTGACGCTGCTCGAGACAGCTAACATGGTGTAGACAATTGGTACCGAGCTGGTCAAGATTATTCTTCTCACGATTCCGTACATCATGGCAGCTGCTCCCGGTCAGTGGCAGCAGAAGGCCGCCGACCTCATGGACAAGACGGAAATTATTGCCTCGGAGCCTCATGCGCTCCAGGCACTGATCGATCCATACCTTCCCGAGAAGGAGGACCAGCCAACTGGCTCCACGAGCGTGATTGCATTGCTTCAGAAGCAGCTTCAGCGCGAAGCGGCCACTGGCTGGGAACTTTCTTGCCTTCCTAGACCTTGGAAACTGCCACTAGAGGAGATCGAGGCACAGGAGAAGCTGGACAGTGCCACAAAGCACAACCTCCCGTCCATCTCGGTCCCTGAGAAGATCGTTGCTGGCTCTCGGCCTTTGTTCCCCGAAGTATACTTCTCAGTATACAGCAATCAAGACGTCGAGTCTGTGCCGCCTGTGACGGACATCGCTGCCTCACTGGTCAGAGACGGGTTGGTTGATACTATTAACATTCTTGACTACAACCGTAACGTCACTGCACGGTATCTCATTGACCTAGATTGTTACTTCTCCGACACTACCTTTGTCAAGCGAGCAACCCCTTTTGATAGACTTAGAGACATTGAGGCTGGCCGCTCAACGTGGAAGCCCGAGGATGTAGCCGTCGATGCCGTTTTTTCGCAGCTTTTTCAACTTCCCACTCCTGAGCACAAGCTTGTTTACTACCACTCGGTCCTTACCGAGGCTTGCAAGATTGCGCCCGCAGCCATCGCACCCAGCTTGGGTCGAGCAATTCGGCATATGTACCGCAACTCGAGCCGTATGGACCTTGAACTCTCGCAGAGATTCGTTGACTGGTTCTCGCATCACCTCAGCAACTTTGGCTTTACCTGGAAGTGGACGGAGTGGGTAGACGATGTTTACCTTCCTGACCTGCATCCCCAGAAGGCGTTCATAATTGGGGCTTTGGACAAGGAAATCCGACTCAGTTTCGCCCAGCGTATCAAGGGTACGCTTCCTGAGCCCTACCAACCTCTGATTGGACCCGAGAAGGAGAAGGATGTTCCTGATTTCAAGTTCAACGACGACAGTGAGTAACGACCTTGTGCCTGGTGACATTCCTTGGATCTAACAGATAACAGGCACTCCATTTGCTGCCGAGGGTCGCGAAATCGCCGCGTTGCTGAGACGCAAAGCGCCGGACGAAGAGTTCCAGCCGATCATTGAACGGATTCACTCACTTGCGATAGAGCGCAGTCTGGATCCTTTGGTGACAAGCACCGACATATTTGTCACGGCTGTCTGCTGGGTTGGATCCAAGTCGCTCAGTCACGTCCTGGCGTGTATCGAGCGCACCAAGGACCGTCTGCTCGATGTTGGCGCGGCATCCGAGGTGGCTAAGGCCCAAATCATCACCGCAGTCATGTCGTACTGGGCGGCACAGCCCGGCGTTGCCATCTCGATTGTTGAAAAGCTCTTGAACTACTCGATTCTGCTTCCCATCACAGTCATCGACTGGGCTCTTGTGGGCAGCAGTCACGTCGAGGGACAGGCTTCGGGTGACGCCTTGGCGCAACCGCATGTCTTTGAGTTGGTGTTTGGAACCGTGGCCAAGGTGACAGGGCGCGTCAGACAGTTGCTGACAAAGGAAGCCGAGGCGGACGAAGAAGCGAAAGAGAGGGAGACAAAAGCCATGCGTGATCTCTTCAGAGCAATGGATGATGCTTTGGTGAGCTGGGCCTCGGGCAGCAAGGACGAGATGATGGAGGAAATGGATGGCGCCGGCCAACGCGACGCCCTCCTCCGCCGATGGGGGGAAAGATGGCTGAGAGTGTTCCGGCGACGATCAGCCATTGAGGAAGCCTTCATTTTGGAGGCGAATAAGGAGCAAGTTGTCGCTGCAAACGAAGTCTAAGTCCTTTCAGAAAGGTCGAACTCGTCTCGAAGCTCAAGCGGCGGACCTTCGGTTGACTTTCAAGGCAGCACGCCTTCAGTTTGTATGATTACGCAAAAGGCCATGGTTAGGAATGGATCGGGTGAAGGTCTCGTGGATAGCAGATTAGGAGGCTTTCGATCCCCAGCACTCAATGCAGAATTACACACTTTCCTAGATTCTCTCTACGTTATTTGTACGATTCCCATGCCATATGCGGATTCCATTTCGTATGCTGGGCCCCCAGTAGCTCCACTTTAGTGGCTCTCGATGCCCCTGGCACAGGCGGATGCGGGGCACTGCTCAGCCTAGCAGCGGTCCCTTTTTGCGCTGAAGCACTGATTGGGTAGACCCGTTACGGCGGGGTTAAAGATTTCTGCAAGGCTGACAACCAGCGTCAAAAAAATTTGGACGGGGAAAGGTCCTGTCTCGCACTCAGCATTTCTCAACAGCACAATCCACACTCAAACAACCGGTTTTTGTTACGCAGTTTCTCGCAGGGGACGCCGGATCTACAATTGACTCTCGAAACCCGCCATCAGACTTGACTAATTCAAGAAAGCCCTGGGTATACCTCAAGAGCTCAAACCAGCCACAATGGAGTCCTCAGCGGCCCAGGTGAAGGTCAACTTCACGACGACGCACGAAGATCTCCAGTTGGACGAGAGCAAGAGGCAGTTGATTGTGCCCGCAGGTATGCACTTGAACTTCAGCGGGAGCCCAATTTACTGCTGCTCCGTTTCAACGACGGCTAACATACTTCTTCCCCCCCCAGACATCAAGCGTTATGGTCTCTCAAGGATATTGAACTCCGAGTCGATGCTCAACACGTCGTCGCCCGTACCCCTCGACTTCCTCGTCAACGGAACCTTCCTGCGAACCACAATCGAAGAATACCTTAAGGAGAACGGCCTCTCGCTCGAGACGACCATCACCCTGCAGTACGTCCGCAGTCTGCTGCCCCCCGTCTACGAGGCCTCGTTCGAGCATGACGACTGGGTCGCTGCCGTCGACGTTCTTTCGGCCACCTCGGCCGCGGGCCGCTGGTCCGGCGACGCCCTCGCCCAGGGCCAGGACCGCATCCTCTCGGCCAGCTACGACGGCCTCGTCCGCGTCTGGGATGGCTCCGGCCAGTGCCTGGCGACGTCCCCCTCGGCCCGCGCCGGCGGCCACGCCAAGCTCCTGACGGACGCAAAGTTCCTCTCCTCGTCGCAGATCGCCTCCGTCGGGCTGGACCAGAAGGTCCTCGTCTGGAAGTACACCGAGTTGGCCGACCGCTTCTCGGGTGAGCTCAAGCCCACGCTCGAGCTGCACGGCCACAAGAAGATGATCAACTCGCTCGACGTCCACGGCCCCTCCAAGAAGCTCCTGACGGCCTCGGCCGACGGCCGCGTCGGCCTCTGGCTGGCGTCCAAGAAGGGCAGCCCGGACGTCGACGCCGAAGACATCCCCGCCACGCACGCCAGCAGCGTCAAGCGCGCCAAGCTCTCCAACTCGTCCGTCACGGTGCCTCAGAAGGGTGCCCTCGCCATGATCCCCGCCCACGCCGACGCCTCCGTCACCGGCGCCGCCTTCCACCCCACCGACGCGACTGTCGCCTACTCCGTCTCGGCCGACCACACCCTCCGCACCCTCGACCTGACCACCGCCTCCGTCGTCTCGACCCTGACGACCCTCCACCCTCTCCTCTGTCTGGCGCCCATGCCGCGCAACTCGTCCCTCGTCGCCGCGGGCTCCGCCGCCCGCCACGTCGCCCTCCTCGACCCCCGCGCCTCGGCCTCGGCCACCTCGGTCCTCACTCTCCGCGGACACACCAACATGGTCTCGGCTCTCGCCCCTTCCCCGGACAACGACTACAGTCTGGCCTCGGCCTCGCACGACGGCACCGTCAAGATCTGGGACCTGCGGAGCGTGCGGCCCGCCACCAAGGACGAGGGCGGCGGCAGCGCCAGCGAGGCCGTCTACAGCATCGGCAGGGAGTGGCTTAAGGGCAAGAAGGTGCCCGCCGGCGGCGAGGGCGCAAAGGTGTTTGGCCTCGCATGGGACCAGACGTGGGGCATCGTCAGCGGTGGCGAGGACAAGAAGGTACAGATCAACAGAGGGAGAGATCTCGTTGCTTCCTCGTAAGGCGGACGGGCGTGTGCGTGTGAAGCAAGTCAAGGAAGACGTCGAAAAGAAAAATCACGGATTTGCGTGTTGTGTACATGTGGTTAGGGAAAAGTTTGCTGGCATTGAAAAAAAAAAAAGGCTATAGACTACAAGAATAATACCCCCCCAAAATTTGTCAAGACTGCATGCATGACGCTTCGAGATCATCTGACGGCGACGTCTTGCCGTGCCGTCTGTGCCTCGTGCGGGACTGACTGGGCCGGCGAGCAGGCCCAAGCCCGGATGATGATGAACACACACGCCCCTCCCTTTCCCAAACTCCTCGCAAGTTGCAAGCATGTCTAAACCCATCCAGTCAACCATTATGAGTGACCGACCCGTCCCCAAACCATCAATCCATGAAGCCGTCAGCCTACGTCTGCCACATGTGCTCGCTGAGCCCGAGCATCTTGTCGGCCATCTGCCTCTTGGCGGCGCTCGCGATCCCCCGCTCCGGGTTCGCGAGCTGCTCGCTGAAGCACAGCTCCAGGAGGGTGCGCAGCTCCTCGTAGTTGAACGTATCGGACGGGTCGGCGTGCTCGTCCTTGTCCTTGTCCTCGCGGGCCTTGTCGACGATGGCGTCGGGCCCCTTGTCGAAGAGGGCAAAGTAGTTTGACGCGCGCGCGAGGTCGACGCCCTCCTCGACGTTCTTGAGGTTCTGTTGCAGTACCAGGATGTTAAGCTGCATGCGGCCGCAGCCCTTTGCGTTCATGGGCGAGACGAAGGCCGCGTTGGTGACGAGGTAGGCGTTGATCAGCAGGCCCAGGCCGGTGCGGATGAAGGCCGTCTCCTTGGCGCGGAGGTACCGCGCGATCGTCTCGTCGTAGAGGACGAGGTCCGAGTTGAGGGTCAGGATCTGCGGGTCCGGCTCGGTGACTTCCTGGTCGAGGAGGTAGGGGCCGTGTCTGTGGAGAGGGCGGTACGGAGGGAGTAAATGATCTCGCAGCGGATTTCCATGTGGAGGGTCAGAAGAGCGGTGGCGGCGAGCTCTTCGAACGAGGAGACGATGCCGTCGAAAGCCCTGTTGGGTTCTGTTAGCGAAAAAGGAACGGGAGTGCATTGGGTGAGGAGACGTACTGGACGGTTTCCTGCGTCATGGGGAGGTACACAGGGCCATCTTCGCTGGTGGCTTTGTTGGGGTCGTTCATAAGCGTCCACCGCTTGTTCGACCCCCGGTTCAGGTGTGGCCGTGACGAGTCGGCCTCGTTGCGGGTGATGTGACGGAGGCTCGCAATCTTGACCGCGAGCCACTTCATGCTGGTGTACAAGAGACAAAGCGACGAGATGGTGTCCTTGTCCTGGATGATGTCGGCCATCTCCATGCGCTTCTCGTTTGTCTGCACAATGAGCAGGCCGACTTCCTTCTCCAAGAGCTCGCGCTCCAGGGTCTCGGAGGTCCACAGCTGCTTGATGGTCTCTTGGACTTCGCCCTCTTCCAGGGCCATGGCCGCTGACATGCGCAGCTTCGTGGGCTCGCCGGCCTGTGCCTGGGTTTTGCCCACGAGCGACTTGTACCACCCGAAGCAGCGATCGTAGTATCTCATCATTTGAGTAATGATGAGCGTGCTCAAGGCCTGGTCGTGGGGAATGGTGCCGAGCATGCGGCAGAAGGCTGTGACAATGGCAAAGAAGGCCGTTGTACCCTTGAAGACGGGCCGCCTGGCAACTTGTGTCCATTCCTGATCTTGCAGGAATGTGTCGGTTTCGCCAAAGATGGTGTCGCTGAGCTTGCCGAGAGTCTCGTCGAGCTGAGGTTGGAACACGTTGACCAGGAAATTGTCCAAGAAAGACGTCAGTGTGCTAGTGGCAAGGTCTGAGCCTGGGGGAACAATCATCTTTAGGCGCTGGAGAAAGACGAGTGTAGGCGGGAGAAGCAAGCTCATGTTGAAGACGCTGGGCTCAACGAGGGACTTGTATGTGCCGGTCGTCTGCTTATTCTCCCATCCCGCCGCTCCCCCCCTCTTGGTGTTGCCGATATCCAGCCCCGGTCGCTTCTTGTCAGCGCCAGGTTTGCGAGACGTGTCCGTCAAACCAGGGACAGCAGCCCGGATGATGCTTTCCAGAGCCTCGTATTCCGTGGCCATGTCCACAGCCTTCGGGTCGCCTTCGGCAAACTTGAAAAGGTGTTCCCGAGCAGCGTCCTTCTTGCCGTTGATGTTAGTGCCAATCTTGGGTGATGTGCTGAACTGGTACACATCGGCATCTGTTGTGACATAGTTGTGCAAGAGGGAGCGAATCTCGTTTTGATAGAGATTCCACAGCTCCTTAAAGCTTCCCAGCAACGCGCTGTTATTTCCAGCACCCTCCCGCCGGATGAGCGCCTTGATCGACTCGTGGAGTACCCGATGTCCCTCTGCAATGGCTTCAAACTTGCCAAATAACGTCCATAGCAGGTCGTAGATGACGTCCGCTCTCATCTGCGTTTCCCGGTTGCCGTAGATATGCAGCCCTTGAGTATTGGCAGAGCCGCCGCGCAATGAGCTGGGGTGCCGTTGGTCGACCTCTCTAAGCGTCTCGTTGACAATGGTAAACAGCTCGACGGGTAGTCTCTGCTTCAGAGTGTCGACAGCCATCTCCAACCTCCCCAGTTTGTTCAGAGATTCCACCAGCAGAGAGACGTAGGAGAACGTGTCAGCCTCCGGATTCTTAGCTGGATCCTCGGCCACCGGCACTTCGAAGTCCATGGCGTCCAGGACTTGATGAAAGGGCGTGATGGTGATCGATTCGTAGTTGCCCTCCTTGAATGCACCCTGTGTCTTGGCCAGGTTCTGCCACCGCTCCTGGCAGTACGGTGACTTGAGATATAAGTGTTCGTGAAGTTCCTCAACGAGGATATCCATGAGCGCCGTATCTTGGTTGGCAAGGTAGCCCCGTAGATCGCTCAAGGCGCCGATATCATCCAACTCCGGTTTCCGCAGCTTTCGCAGCGCATTCTGCAGGACCTCGACCGCGCTCAGGAATCGTTTCTCAGATATGCGTGCTTCCAGCTGGTCCGGCACCAAGCGCAGCTCCTCAAGCTCATTCAGGGCTGTGAGAAGCTCATCGTAAGACTGCGACGTAGCCGAGAGCTTTTTGAGTTCAGGGTCTGACGTGCACAGGCTGACTTTGGATGTCAACAGGGAGTCCTTGAGTGCGCGCACTCTCTTCTGCGACGCCTGTATGCTGCCCTGAATCTTGTGGAAGGTTCCGATGGAGCTGTTGAAGCCCTGGTGGTGCTCGTGTACGATGCCCTTGAGGGAGCTCTGTAGGTAGTCGTGCGTCTGTCGGAACTTGTTGTATTCGTGTGCGCGGCCGACGGAGCTAGTGTCTAGGAGCTGAAGGGCGAGTTGGACGGGCACACAGTCAGTCTGGCACATGGCTGGCCACTCCAGCTTGATATGCTCGAGGACCTGGCCAATCTGCCGTTCGGCGTTCGTCTCTTGGACGCGCTCTCGGCTGCGGACGGGCGGCGGTCCGCCACTTCGAAGGGAAGATGGTGACCGGGGGGGTTTATGGCCGGCGGGGACCCTACGGCGTACCGGTCGCCTCTGTCGCTGCCAGTGTAGCCATCGCCGTACGGGTCGTAGTCTTCTTCACGCCTGCCAAAGTTTCCGTAGCCGTTGCCGTTGCGGTAGCCACCACCACCGTACCGGTTCGACATGGTGGAGGTGCGGGTGTGTGTAGCGGTTTAGACGGTTAGGAGGGAGGGGGATCGCATCGCGGATCGGGGTATCGCAGGGTCGGTGAGTTTGGAGGAGCTTGTCGAAGGAGAGAGGGGTCCGAATGAGCGGCGTGCTGCAGCTCCCCAAAGCTCGTGTCGTTGATGCTGTCGTGGTCGTGGTCGTGGTCGTGGCCGGATCGAAGTGAGGCTCTCGAGACGTCGAAGTCGAGGTCGAATTGGGCGGCGGTGCTTCGTCAAAGTGCTGGCATCCCACTGCAGCTAGCTAGGGGGTTCGGACGGGCTCTAGCCCAGCCATCCGCATGCACGTTTCAGCGATGTTTGGATCTGGCCTGGGGCTTCTAGTGGCTCGCTTCAGCGGCCGAAGCTGGTTCCCCGCCGCCCCCGGACGGCTCCATGCAATGCAGGTGACCCGTCCTGCCGACCTCACGCGCCGCAGACGCTCCTTTCGCAACTCCCGACGCCGATGCTGAGACCGGAACCGTCGACCGAGTCCGTACTTCACCCCGGTCCCCTGACCATAAAAGCGCGTCTGAAAGGAGGCCTTGCTTAGTTCTCATCTCATCTGAAACAGTATACTGCAGCATCTACTGTCATGTCAGATCGTTTCTCTATCCAGCCCATTGGGCGATTCTACGCTGCAAGCCAGCCAGTCAAACGACCAAAGGTATGCACGCATTCGTCCTTTGAAAGCCAACGTCTTAGTCGCATGAGTTTTGCTTTCACCTACAATCATTTGAGTGCCTCCTCTGATATAACCCAGGAGTTTGCTTGCTTCTCATACGACGACAACCATGACTTTCATCTCGGCGACTCGTCACTGAGATATTACTATACGCCAGCCCTTGGCGCCGATCTGTCCAAAGGCTACGACAGCTTCATCAAGCATGACGACTCGAAACCCGAGCACCTAGGGGCATTGCTCAAGACCATCAAAGCCCATGAAGAAGAGACGGGGCAGAAAATTGACGCGCAGATTGTAACATGGCGTGGCATGATGACCAAGGTAGGAATTCCCAACTGCTACCAGCTCACCCTTTGCTAACCTCCGCTCAGATCATGGCATCCCCTTTCGAGGATCGCGACGGGTCAGTCTCTTGTGCCTCAGTGCAAACAGGATAAGCAGAAACTGACAGCAGAGCTAGCTTCGAGATGAACGCAACGCTGTACCAAGTGCGCATGGACAACTCCCTTAGCTTAACCGTCGACTGAGCTGACCCGACCCAGGACTGCATGTATGCCATTCGGCAACGCCACGCCCACTGAAACAAAACTGACTTTCACCTAGATATATAGAAGAGAACCATGAGTATAAGGTGGCGTCTCAGAAGCAACAGAATGCGTCACAGCGACGAGGACCGATTCCTCCTGAAGTGATGCAGTTTTGGGGTATGAGGCAAACCCCGTCCGCAAGGAAAGAAGCTTACTATGGAACAGGCTACAAGTTTGAGACCTTGGCGACGCTCCCCGCCCCCTGGGGCGACACCCCCAGAGAATACATTGAGAATAGGGACGGCGAGATCGTCAACAACAAGGCCCAGTACTGCTCCGTAGTCCGAACAGGCATCGGGCAAACCGTTATTTGCATAGGGGGCGAAGTCGACGCCGGTAAGCCTTCATCCCTAGCCGCCCACGCACGAAACCCGCTAACACACCCAAGTCTGGGACTCCAAGCCTGTGAAGCCCGGCGCGCCCACGAACTGGGTCGAGCTTAAGACGAGCCTCGCCATCCGCGACGACCGCGACGTCGACAACTTCCACCGCAAGCTCATGAAGTTCTGGATCCAGTCCTTCCTCCTGGGCGTCCCCAAGATCATTGTCGGCTTCCGCAATCGCCAGGGCATCCTCACGGGCGTCGAGGAGATCGAGACGGAGAAGATCCCCGACACGGTGCAGCGCCGCGGCAAGGCGACGTGGAACGCCGACATGTGCGTCAACTTTGCCGCCGAGTTCCTCGTTTGTGAGTCCGCCCCTCCCTCCCTTCGCTCTCAGCACCCCTCTTTTCTCTCCGTCCGCTCTGGAATGGAGGCCATTGCCTGTGAAGAACAGTCTGTTGACCGGATGACAGGGCTACGACAGACCATCAACGATGACGGCGTGTGGAGGATACGCAGGCGGGCTGGGGAACCGAACATTGAGGTGTTCAAGATCGACGAGGCCGGGCATGGAGACGTCTTGACGGACGAGTTCATCAACTGGAGGATCAAACTCTCAATGAAAAGCACAGCGCCGGAACTGGAGCCTGAGCCTGAGCCGGAACCGGAACCGGAGTCGTAGGTGTTGAAATCATAGTCGACCGCGGGAGACCGAATCTCCTAGCAACAATTCACATAACGGAGGACCTAAAAAAGCGTTGCGCAATCGGTTTTATTGTAGACGCAATCTCGACGCTACCTACGAGGTATCTAAGTAATGCCAAACAAAGCAATCCCAAAACGCCAAAGCCCATGAACGCAGACAAACCCCGCATCAGCCGTGTAGATATCATCAGTCGTGAAAGCTACATAACCGGGAGTCCATCATCATTTTCTTCGAATAAAAAATCCAACCCCGGGTACCTTTCAATTTGCCGAATGTCGAAAAAGGGATAAACTCTCTCCCAATACTTTTTGTGTGCTGTCCAAACCAGTATGCTGTGACGCGGTCGTACACTCTCATCATACAGCGTGTTCTCATGAGTAATAATGTTGTGCCAGTCTTCTGAGATGTCCCCTCCCTTTCAGCAGTCATCTTGAGCCAATCGAGGCTGCGATTAGACTGCTGGCCATCTAATTCTCAATCCCTCCGTCCAACGACCGTAGAGCACATCAGACAGTTGCTTGCAGTGCTCCATGCCAGGACGGGGCGGACGCCCGGGATACTTGGCCTCCACGGCCGTCTTCTCCTTCTCGCGGTCCTTGTCGGCCGACTCGGGTGTGGCAATCGACCCGTTACGCCTCCTATGGCTCTTCAAGTGCGGGTTGTTTGACGCCATCACGAGCTTGTTCGGGCTTCCCGACGAAGGTGTTGCCGCCGCGCTCCTGATGATGACCGTCCCCTGAGGCGTTTCGTCCGACGGGAATTTGATCGACTGTTCAGGCATCAAAGCCGTGCTCAGCTTGGTATCCTGCGAGACAGCCGTCATCAGGTTCTGCATCAGATGGTAGGCACCTTCGGGATCAACCGAATCCAGGAGCGCAAACGCATCCGTGAGCTTTGCCAGCGCTTCCCGCTTCTGCATGCCTGACGTCTGCGCGTGAAGTTCGGCGAGAGTGGGATCCAGGGCCTTGTTGAAAAGGCGCCGGCCAAGCAATGCCTCCTTGCTGCTAGGTTCGACTGCTGAGGCCCGCGGCCGTGCTTTGTTCTCGTTGCCAAATGTTCCCTCGGGAGAAGTGTCCTCGTAGGCCGTGGTAGAGCCATCCGAGGGGACCCGGCGGAAGAGCCGCACGGAGGAGCCAGAGTTGCCGTACGACATGTCTGGCTGAAGGGGTCGTCTGGCGACGGTCGAGCGAGGTGACCCGTTTGCTTGGATCTGTGTGCCCGAAGCCTGGCGGCCCGAGGGCTGGCGGCGCACAGTTGACCGGCGGACAGTTCCGGAAGCGGGAGACGAAGGGCCGAGCGGAGCGTCCTTGAGGTCGAGACGGCGCATTGCCTCCTCCGCCGCGAAGTAGGACGGCTTTCGCGCATGACCGTTCGGGCGTTTGGGAGCCACCGACTTGACCGTGTCGAACACCCACTCATCCGAGTCCTCCTTATGCGACATGGTATGTAGCGTCTCTTGGTAAAAGATGGGGTGCGACTTGCGGTTTTGGTTGGCGTCCCACATTTGCTTGCGAGCAATGAGCTCTTGGAGAGCCTCAATTTTACCTGCCGATCTGATGAACCGGTGACGCAGGAGATCCTTCGCCGAAGGTCTGCGGTCCGAGTCCTTGACGAGACACTGGGCGACAAAGTCCCTGAAGTCCTTGCTGAAGTTGTTCTCCAAGCGGGGGGGCGGGTTCTTGGGGATGTGGAAAAGAACCTTCATCGGGTGAATGTGTGCTAGAGGGGGTTCGCCATTGGCCATCTCCATGGCGGTGATGCCAAGGGACCAAATGTCTGCTTTGAACCCATAACCGTCCTGCTGGATAACCTCGGGTGCCATCCAGAAAGGGGTGCCGACGAAAGTGTTTCTTTGGGACTTTATGTTGGTCAACTGGGCGGCGACACCAAAGTCGGCCAACTTGACCTTGCCTGTCTCGGATAACAGAACATTGGCGGCCTTGATATCTCGGTGAATCTTGCCTTCGGCATGCAAGTATTCGAGACCGCGAAGAAGTTCTCGGCAGATGATGGCAATGTGGACCTCGGCGAAGTTGGCAGGTTTGAGCTGAGGAATGTTAACTAAAGAGGATCCGGCAGATCTGTTACGCATAATGGCTTACCAAGTCCAGACATGAACCGCCACCGAGATACTCCATGACGATCCAGAGCTTGTGGCCGCGCAGAAAGCTGCCTTTGTATTGCGTGACGAAAGAACTCGCGCATGTGCTCAGCACAGCGATCTCGCCTTGGATCTCTTGGATGTCATCTTCGCTGGACTCAAGGTCGATCTGTGCGGGTGGTTGTTAGGCAAGTTCTGGAAGCGCCAGGCCGAGGATGGGCCAACTTACATGTTTGATGGCAACGGTCTCGCCGGTGGCCTTCTCAATGGCCTTGTAAACGACACCAAAGCTTCCACCTGACTGCCATGTCAGCGCGACTGCCCAGCGAAGCAAAGCACGGGATCATGGCAAGACTTACGACCAAGCTCCTCCAGTACCTGATAATGTTCGGCAACCCCCTCGTCCGCCATTGCGGCCGATTTGGACGTCATTGAATCGGTATAGTGGCTCAACTGAGTTCCCGGCAGCAGAGATGGAGTAAGAGAGAGAGGGAGGAGCTGGCAACGTTGGACCCGGAGTCCTAGGACGAGGGATTTCGAGGGAAGGGTTGCGCAAGTGAAGCGGCGGGCTGCTGGGAGAGAGTCTCGGAAGAAGAAATGGGTATCCAGGGAATGGGGCTGTCGTCTGTCAGACAGGACGGCCTGACTTGTAATATTTAGGCCGGACCAAAAAGCAAATGGGTTTAATAAAGCAAGCGGATCGACACAAGACGGGTTGCTTGGGACAGCAGGCTTGTCGCTTGTCGTCACGGGCGGGCGGGCGTCCAGGATCAAGTCAAGGTGCTCTCTTTTTTTCCTTGGCCGTGGGCGTTCGGTCGGTCGGGTCAGTTGTTGGTGCTTCGTCGCAAAGCTCGGGCCCTTTGTTTACTTTCTTCCGTTTTGGTATAGCTGGGGGAGCTTCGGGGCACCGCAAATAGCACCAGGGGTACTATGGACCAGGGCGAGTCAGCCGGTCTTGCGACGGAAAAGCAAACGAAAAGAGGCCGATCGAAAGCCGCGGTTTCTGAAGCATCGTGAGTTTCGCGAACAAGAAAAACGAAATGTAGGGGGAGAGCCGAGAGTAGTAGTAGTGCGTGTGGTGTTTAGTGATTGATATGCAGGAGAGCAGGAGAGAATGCAGTGTGTGGTCACCAATTGAGAGAGCAGACCTGTCGTGTGAGAGCTTGCGTCGTTTGCATGCCAGCGTGATGCGAGCATGACCTTGATCTGACCTGCAACAGAGAGAAGACGCCCGTCAGTGTCTCTCTCTCTCTCACTTCTCCCTCTCCCTCTTCTCTTGGTGTCGTCCGTTTTTGGTGCGACCCTATTCGCGGGTTGTGCACTAGCCGCGTTGCCTTGCAGAATCTGGTTGCCAACGCAAGTGGACAGGAGACAACAGACGGCATGCAGGGCCTACCCCATGAGACGGCGCTGAGTTGTCACCCGCACTAAGACGAAGTGCCTGCTCTTGGACACAATCTATCTAGGGAGGAGAAATACCCGCTTGCCATTGCCTTCACTGCTGGGAGACAAGCCTTTTGCCGACGTAGGGAGCCAGGGGTCCTCCCCTCCCGAATCTGCCAAGGTAGAGTAGGTACCTCTGCACAGGTTATTCGTATGGCGGCGAATGAAGCACGGTACTCGGCGCTGTCGAATCTGTATGTGCGACGTAATATTCCATGGGCAACGGTAATAACACGACTTGGATCAGACAAGCAAGCTGACGAGAAGGTTAAGAGTGGGAATATCGACCCAAAAGGACCAAACAGGACGGCCGTCTTGGATTTGCACCTTGCACCTTGCTCGGCATCGCAGGCGGTGACCAAAGATTTCCAAGCCTTCTCCAAGGTCCAGGGGCCACAGATGTGCCACCCCGGGCTTAGCGCGGCGCCAAGGGAGTCCACTAGTCGCCGGTGGAGACACGCCAGCCGCACAAGAAGGTCGCAACCCGTTGCAAGCTCGAGCCTGGGTCGTCCCTTCTCCCCGATTGCCTTTTGCCTTCAGTGCGCCCCAGCCCGTCCAGTGTTTGGAGAGTCCCGACGTCTCCCCGCCAACGAGCCCCTCTGTTTGTTGGTTGCCCCGGGTCCGCACCCCCCGGCCGTCACTGACATTCACCGCATCCCCTTCCTGGAAGTCGTGTCCGACAAGTCGATTTCCCACTTGTCTGCCATCATTAACTCGCACACACTTGGACCTCAACGCCGTGGTTTCCTGATTACCCACCCACTCCAACAAGGCCATTGTCGCCGTGCACGCGAGACTCATTTGCATTTCTCACCACCTTGTCCAAGGGTCGGCGAGTGCAAAAAAATTCCCACGAGCTCAGAGTTCCTCTCTCGCTTGCCTCTCGCTTCGCTGCAGGAACCTGGAGTCGCTCTTATCCCTTGTCATTGGTTTCCGCGCCCGCGATTTTGCATGGTCGCCGCGTTTGCCCATCGCAACTTACATCATCGCGTCGAATAAACCTGCTGCATCGCGAGCCGAGTGCCGGGCTCTGCAAACAACCACAAAGGCACTCGACATCAATTGTCAACTGGTCGCGGTTGGTAGTACGCACTGTCTGTCTATCGGCAACGCGATCATCACGACTTCACCATGGTGCCCGCACCACCGTCCTTGCCCACTCGATTTCCGTGCTGGTGCAGAGCGGTCTACTCCTGGGGCGGAGAGGTCTGTTGGCACATCTTTGAGCTTCAGGAGAAGAGCGAATCCCAAATACTGACTTGCCGTCCCACAGTCCAAGCGAGATCTCGGCTTCATCGAGGGCGATCTGATCGAATGTCTTAATGCCGGCGACGGCTCTTGGTGGACAGGCAGGCTATGGCGCGATCGGAGGACAATAGGAGTGTTTCCGTCCAACTTTGTCGAGGTTTTGCCCTCCGATTTCCGGCCGACAACCAGGTCCGCCAGCCCGCTCCCCGCAGACACACCGAGCCCAAGTACACCTCAGAAGTCAAGGACTTTCCGAAAGCCCTTCGAAGCCTACTCCAAGGCGCCGCACTACACGGCAGCAAAACAGCCTGAAGTCTACCGCACGAACCCGCACCCGAGGCCTAGAGGGCACTCTGGCGAATCAATCCACAGCGCGATTGCCGAGCAGAGCAAGAGAGACCGGTCGCCGGCGCCTGAAGCCTTCCTATCGAGAGAGAACTCTTTCAACGATGCTGCCTCGACTAGAATGCGAGCATACACATCGCCAGCCCCGACCGGTTACGTATCGCGGGGCAACTCGTTCAACGATGGCGCGCAGCAGTACATGCCGAGAGGGAGAACCCCCGTCCCGAGGGGTAGGACACCCGTACCGAGAGAGCGAACCCCTATTCCTCCCAGAGAACGGACACCCATCCCCGACTACGGGGCTGATTACGGCCACGGATCGAGAGTAAACTCATTCAACACAGAACGAGGCCAGTCTCCCATACCACCGTCTCACGACTATGGCTCAAGAGGTGTTTCTCCGGCCCCTTCGATGAGCTACAAGCCGTATCGTCCTCCCACTCGAGAAAGAGTGGACTCTCCCCCACCTCCAGCGCCACCTCCCCACCGACATGTAGCAGCGCCGCGGCATAAGCAAAGCATATCCTACGATAGCCGACACGATGTCCCTCGTCAGGAGTCCAATGCTTCCTATGAAAATCGCTATCATGCGGGGAGACAAAGCTCAGGAAACTCATTCGACAAGCGACTTGATATTATGCGCCAAGACTCGACCGCGTCGTACGACGATCGGCAACCCACCCTGGACAGGCATGGCTCACATCTCTCTTATCAAGCTCACCGGCCGCCGCCGATACAGACATCCAGACTGCACTCGCCATCTCCGCCTTCCCCGTCAGCCAGTCACATGACTCCTTCCCCGTTGCGGGAGGCAATGGACGGCGTGATAGAACAGCTGGACGCCCTTGGCATGCCTCGAGACCCAACTCCCGAGCCGCCACTTGACCCATGGTCACCCGAATCCTTCAACATGGTCAATGACCGTGCGAGAAGGAAGAATCCTTACCAAAGACCCCAGACATCCATGGGCATAGCACAGCAGGACGAGGGTTACGAAACCTGGAGCGGCGGATCTTCGCGGGATCAATCCTACCACAACGGACACCGGGAGGACAAGGAACAGCTACCTCAACTGAGTAACTACGTCGAACGTATGGAAAGTCGTCTCAAAAAAATGCATCAACATAGCGCAAGTATGGCTGACCTTGAGGATGAGGCCCCGAAGCCACCACCCAAAGGCCAGTTATACGAGAGACCCAAATCTTCGATGGGTGGACCAGAAGAGAAGAAGCTTCGCGGACGGAAGTCGGCCTACGACATTGGCCGCAACGTGCTGAACAGGACGTTTACGACCAAGACCAACTCTACCAGCGCCTCCTCAGGCAACCAGAGCTCGACGACGCAGAGCAGCGACAGGAGTTTGATGAGTGGGTCATCAGCCGGCGCCATTAGCGCTACGAGCGCAGGCAGTCTTGCTCGCAAGACTCAAAAGCGTGCCCAGAGCGCCCTGGGCATGCGTGAAGCCGAAATCGAGCGCCCAGAAACTCCATTCACTGGCGTCACCTACCACAGCAGTCACGCCTCGGAGGCTTCGCGGTCAAAATCTCAAGCAGGCTTTCACGACGACGCGGGACTCGGAGGACTCGTCACCCCGAAACCCGCGAAAAGGAGCATTTTCAAGAAGCTTCTTGACACGGCGAAGACTGGAGTGGCGTCCGGGCGCAGCAGTATTGCGATGGGTGCCGACTCGCCCAGGTCGTCACCTTTCGCCCGCTCCATGCCTAACGTTGCCGCTGCGGCCAACGCTAGCATCTCAAACTTGACCGCCATGGGAAGCTCTGGCTTCGGTAGAGAAGCGGCCAGAGACATGGGTCTTGCCAACGGAGTCGACTGGGTTCAGGTTCGCAGAGACGTCAATCGGTCCAACTCTTTGAGTAAGAACGAGAGAAACGAGCGGAAAGACCGCTGCCAGATGCTCGACTATCCTGCGCTGAACCCGGTCGATGAGCTGTTTGACGGCATGGAGGGTGATGAAGGGGCCGACGGCTTGCCTGTGGAGGATCCCATCGACTACCAGTCACTGAATCTCACCCAAGTGGATAAGAATTCGAGGTTCGTGAGCAGTCTCCCGGCGATGACCACGGCGCAAAGCGTGGCGACGACCTACGTCTGCCGTCCCTATCGCAGCGACGTCCAGAGACTGCGAGCCATCTTCACATGGGTGTCCGAGAAGATCGTTTGGGAAGAGGACTTCGAGGGAGAGGTCGACACCAGAAGAGTTGTGCAGTCGAAGCGAGCAAGCGCCGAGGAGTACGCCGTCCTGGTAATGGAGATGTGTTCTGCCGTTGGCATCCAGTGCGAGGTCATCCGCGGTTATCTCAAAACGCCCGGTGAGATCCCTGAGCACAACATCATGCCTAGAGCAAACCACTGGTGGAACGCGGTTCTGGTCGACAACGAATGGCGAATGATAGACTGCTGCATGGCCAGCCCTTCCTACCCTAGGCGGCATCTCTACTCGAGCGCTAGCAACAGCGCGGCCGACTTTTGGTGGTTCCTTGCGCGACCGACAGAGCTCTGCTGGACACACATTCCCGAACACCATGCTCAGCAGCACATCTGCCCGCCGCAAGCACACGAAGTCCTTCTCAACCTTCCTTGCGCTTGCCCTCCCTTTTTCAGACACATGCTGGAGATGGTCGACTATAACACGGCGGCCACCCGCATCGAAGACCTGGAGATGGTGCATATCAAGTTCAACGCCCCGCCCGACATTGAAGTCGCTGCTGAGGTTGAGGTCCGAGGCTACACAAGAGACGCAGATGGCGATGTCTTTGAGAGCGGTGAAGTTGTAAAGAAGAGGGCGTTGGCCCAAGCGGAATGGTTCAACGGCACCAAGCGATACACAATCAAGGCCTTGCTGCCTGGCGATGAAGGGCAAGGAGTGTTGAAGATCTACGCTGGCAAGCGTGGCCTGATGCACAGCATCAAGGACATTCCTCACCCGGTGGCCTTTGCACTACCAATCATCCACACGGGCGAGAATCCTCCGTATGAGTTCGTGACGCGGCACCCGACGCCGCATGCACAACGTCACGATATTTACGTTGTCCAGCCTCAGTGCCAACGCCTTGCTCTAAACAACACTTTTGTGTTTGCAATTCGGCAGCATCCCAGCTCCGTTGGCGGAATTGGCTCGGTGATGACACCGTCGTCGAATCCCGGAGGCGCAAGCCCGATTCCTTTCGCAAGACCAAGCTCAGCCATGAGCATGACAGCCTCCACCGCCAGCGGATCGAACCCGAGCACGATAGCTGGAGGTGGAAAGAAACCAGCGAAACTTGCAATTCAGACTCCCGGCGGCAAGATTCTCCGTCTCATGCGCAAGGAGGAGCGCAAGGGAATTAGTGTTGGCAGCAGAGCAGTGGAAGAGGACCTTGGTGACGGCGGTACGTGGGAGACCATCATCAAATGTTCCGAGAAGGGCGTGTGGAGGGGACTGGTTTTGGCGGACCGCACCGCGCGGTGGTGCGTCTTCGCCGAATGGGTATGTGTTGGATGAGCATTGCATTCTGGGATGTCCTGCATCTTTGGTCTTTCATGATTGCAAGGACAATATTGAAAAAGGAGACTTGAGCGGTCATGACAGGTCGGTTCAGGGTATGCATATCTCGGCGTTTTCTCTTCTATTGTTTTCCTCCTTTGTGGTATTTGGGACTGGGTACGGCTTGGACGTCGTCCATCATCATGGCTGTGGGAGTTTTCTAATGTACGATACGTAATGGGAATCATGCATGTCCAGGCTAGGATGGTTCTGTAACACAAAATATCACGCGTATATGCCCTTAATGAAAAATACGAAGTAAGATTCGGTAGTATCAGTGGTGATTGTATTAGTGATCTAACGACAAAGGTAGTCAGTCAGGCTTGTGTAAGTGCAGTTGAAATGCACCGTGTCCTTTCCCCGCCAGAGTCTCAATCAGCACGGTCCTCTATCGATAAGGTGTAACGACGCCACGGTGCCTGGACGACCCTCGTCCTCTCGAAAGTAAACAGAGGGGCGCCGACGCCGACGACGACAAATGCAAGCCACATCCCTATGCACGTCCGGCCCTGTCTCGCGCAGCATCGACATCCTTGAATCTTTAATAAACTGAAGAAGAAACCCACGGAAAGGGGCCCCGTCATCTCTACCGGCAACCAAATTACGCCAAAGACAGACGGAGAGAGAGAGAAAAAAACAACGAGACACAGTATACACGAAATCCACCATTCCACCCAACAACCACAGGCCGCACCACCCTTGCGTCCAGAGACACACCCATGGCCGACAGGACCTCACGACAAGCGCCTCCGCCAGGCGCCCCGCGGCGGCAGGTCCGGAGGAACCTCTTCCAGGGCCTGACGAGGCGGCCGACAGGTCCCACAGGGGCGCCCGTGGCTGCGACGACGAGCACCGCCGCCGCCGCGGCCGCGGTCGCAGGCAATGGCGTGGCGGCGGCCGGGGCTCCGGGGGGTTCATCGTCGGGGGCCTCCGCCGAGACGCTGCGCCTCGATGTCGACGTGCTCTCGGACGGCGGACCGCCCGCGGTGGCGGCGGAGCCGGCGGAGATTGTCGTGCGCGACGAGCATGGCGAGGTAGAGCTGGGCGAGCTGCCGACGCTCGTGTTTGACGAGGCCGACGAGGTGGCGGCGATGGATGATCGGGAGGAGAGCAACAGTACGTTTCCCACTGCACCGGGGGCGGTTCTAACTTTCATTCATGTTTCTTCTTTTGGGGGGTGGGGTATAGAGCTATGAGGGTTATGCTAACTATGATTTTATAGAAGAGCGGCAGAGGCTTGCTGAGGCGGTGAAGCAGCATCAGGTCAATCACACTGCGGTTCGTGAGCAGCCTGAGGGTGAGTCTATGCCCTACGTGCCCGACTTTTTCTCCTACGCGGACTGATTTCTGACCTCCTTTTTTTCCGGTGTAGAACTGCTTGAGGCTGTCAAGGCGAGTCTCCGGGCCAAGGTAGCGGCTCTCGCAGAAGACAATTGGATGTACGAGGCCGAGCCGGAGCTGCCTCGTGCTTTCTGAACGCGATGCATAGCCCAACTTTCATCTGCGAAACCCGGCGCTGCCGCCACAGCATTTAGACTCCATGTTTTAACGTCTAGTCTTACGGGCGTGCTTGGAAGCACATTCGGCGGAGTGGCGAGTCATCTAATCCAAGCCCTCGGCCGTGGGCGCCTCTACCCGTCTCGGTGCGGGACGTCTCTGCTGCGGAGCGCCGCCGCCACCGGCACCGCCAAAGAGGCTGCCCATCATGTCCATCAGCGGGTTGCTCTGCCTCGGGCGCTGGATGCCAAAGTACATCTCGGCAATGATCTCAAGCGCCTCGTTCCACGCGCCGACCTCGGCGATGTGGGATGAGTACTTTGTGAGGAGCTGCTTGTAGGCGTCGGGGGCGCCGCGCTGCACCGCTAGCAACAAAAGTCCGAGGAAGTTGAGGAGGGGCAGGCCGGGGAAGATGCGCAGGTCGGCGCTGTTGCTGCTGACATCCTGGACGCCGAGGCCCTTGTTGTCGTCGCTGAGGGAGGAGGCGAAGAGGCGATAGCACGTGTTTGCGGCGCGGACGTTGCCGACGAGGAGGTAGGGGAGGATGGCGCGGGCGGCGTAGAGCGGGGCCGTGTGCGAGTCGTCCTCCTTGTACCACACGTATTCCATCTTGGCGAGCACCTCGGCCGAGTCCTTCGTTCCTAGCACCAGGTGTCTTTCGGCCTCGTAGGCTTCGTGCTCCTCGGCGTAGAGCGATCCGGCGACGTGGTGCAGGTCGGCGTCACCGGCGGGGTACTCGCCGAACTTGGCGGACCACCTGTAGGATTCGTAGTTAGCTTGCCTGGTCTTGCCCTGACCTTATCAAACAAACATGAAAACTCACGCAATCATCTCCCCAATGAACTTCTTCCTCGTGGGCTCCTGGGCGGGGAAGAGGCGCAAACAGGTGAGTAGCTTGCCCTTGCTCGCGGCGTCGGGCTTGAGCTCGGCCTGCCGGAAGACGTCGACCAGCATGACGGCGAGATCACCACCGCTGCCGCCCTGGCCGGCCTTGAGCAGGGACTGGGCGACATTGTAGAGGATGTCAGTGGCGGCGGGCCAGTTGGCGGCCTTAATGTAGCGGGCGGCGACCACGCGCGTCTGCTGCTGGGCCTCGTAGAACTGGCCCTCGCCGATGCGGGCCTGTAGCCGCGTAATGATCTTTTCGATCTTGTCTCCCTTGGCTGCCATTGCTGGAGGTTGTTATGTGAGTCTCGTTGGAGATGTCGAGGTCGCGGTTCGCAAAAAGTGGAGGATGGGCGGGCGGGCGGGCGAAATTAAATGCGCTGTTGAGAGGTGACGATATCGTTTTGTAGCTTGGTGGCTTTGGGAGTCGAGATGGTGGGGGGATTACGGAGGTACTTCAGCCCCTCAGGCCAGGCCTGGGGAGAGCTTCGCTTCCATTCTGTCATTCTTTTCGGATAAAGTGCGGCCAATGCAGTCTGGGTAGAGTGCAGGGGTAGCAAGGGTAGCAGGGGTTGTTGCTCTACAACAGGTGGTGCATTGACCACTACTCTATTTTGGAAAATGGGAGACAAAGGCTCGATTAAAGCATTGTTCAAGCGCCTACGGAATAGCTTCAACCTCTCTAAGCAATTGTAGAGATTCAGTTGAGTCGTATTGTATTTAAAGTTATTGTCGTGACTTAAAGTAACCAATGCTTCTGGATCATACACAGAACTCTGTCTCCACCTCGAACAACCCAGGTCCAGCAAAATACAAGGGCTTGATTTCCTCCCACTTACGATACCAGGTCCTGTAAGTTGTTATCGGCCCAGGCCGCTCGTGCTGAGGCAGACAGGCGTGTCTATTTCCCAGGAATAACAATCTCAGGGTTCCAAAAAGTTCGTGTTTAGTGGATTTTACGGCGACTTCGCACCGTTGAAAGATGAGACTATGAGAAAGAAGTCATGATACAAGTAAAGTAGTGTTGAGAAGTCGCACTCCACGACACGATCTTTTCAGACTGATTGACCCAATATCTTCCACAAGAAGTCACTAATGCATATAGTCTACTCCTGTGCTCTTCATCTGGTAGGATCTATCTCTAGTAAGTCCGGAAATCAGAGCGTTCCTTGTCTCTGCGGTCACTAAGATCCCTGAGCACCGATGAGTATTACGAGACTGAATGTCGCTTTAGTGGCACATACTGCCCGCCTTATTTTGGCTCACTCTTTGAAGCAATCTAGATATCACAGTCTATGACTTACATCCCTATCATATTCGTTGAAGTTTTGGTAAGCCACCTCCCAGTTCCATTGCAGACAAACTGTTCATATTTGGCAGCAGATGATCACCGACAACCTTTCTACATATGGGAGAGGAAATTGGGCCTTCCAGGTGACGAGATGTTCGTGGAATTAAGGAGCAAAATGTGAGGCGGAATTGATAAAGAAAAAGGCCGAGCGAGTGGTAACCTGCTGGGCGAGAAAGGAGGGTCCCGTTCCCGACACGTTCCTGTTGGGGCGACTATGCGATGTGCCAAATACTGGCCCTCGCCGTGCCTTTCTTTCCTTCAACAAACAGAGAACCGCATGAGTTATAGACCGAGAAATCGGGCCATCGGTGCGAAAGAAAGAGAGTAATAGCTGTGAGTGGGCAGATCGAGAATACCGAGAGGAGAAATTAGGGAAAGCATCAACAAGTCGCACAAAGATGTTCCCTGTCGAATGGCTGGGTCTCGCTGCCAGGGCCAGTGACGTCCTGTTGGGTGCACTGACCACAGCTCTAGTCAGTCCAGGGGAAAATCAAGCAAATTTTCCAGCGCGACTCCCTCTTCCAACTTACAACCACACACAGTTCTCATTTTTTTTTCTCTCCTGCTTGTTCTCTTTTCGTTTGATTACTCGTCGATGTAAAGGCATCGAATATTGTGCTTTATTGGAGTCATGTTTACACTGAGACGCGACACTGATCGACTAAAGACCGATTTTCAGACCTTTTGGGCGACCCAGCGCGCTTTAGGAAACTTTACCGCTGGGCTGTATGCTATTTCAGATCAGCATGCTAGAGCCAACGGCACGTGAGCCGACAATACCCGTACTCGTACATAAGTCACATAATTGCCGGTGTCATATAAGCTCAAATGCAGGCGATGATGGTGTAGGGGTAACATCTAAGCTTCCCATGCTTAGGCTCCGAGTTCGAGTCTCGGTCATCGCATTGAATCTTTTGCCTAATTGGAATTTTTTATTTCTCCTGTCTTAGTATAAAGTCACGTCTATCCTAAGTTTTGGTACATGTATATCTACCATTGAGACGGTTTGCGATAGTAAGTAAGCAGCCGATGAAGTCATGCACAAATACTAGCTTGGAAGAAACATACATATATCCAACGAGTGTTCTTCCTCAAGGATCGGAAATGCTTACAGCTGCTTGCATGTGTTCTACGGCAAGTTCCGACCGATGTACGCAATCCATAGCAATAGTCAATGGCTCGATCATAATAACCAGCTTGCAGACTGTCGTTCGTCTCGCTTGGGTTGCAAAAAACCAAGCTAGGTTGATGAATTCCCACCCTAATTTCTAGATTCTTGGTAATCTGGTTCTCGTCTGTAAGGTGTACAAGATGGAAGTTTCATCCTAAAAATGCATATTCAGTTTACGGACCTCCGGAGTCTAGGACCCACCCCGGCATCGACGGGTTCCGGGATTAACAACGTGCCGATGCCGCACAAAAAATAACCATATCCAAGGGCTCCAGGTTTTAGATGTCTAGTTCTTCGGGCATTCCCCTCGCAACTGGGCTCCCGTTCAAGACGAGTGACGGGAGGCGTCCGTGTCCGACCTACCCGGATGTTACACTTCGCTCATCTCATAATCCAAAAGCCAATGCTATGCGTGTCCGGACATCTGTAGTGCTAGCAATTTCTCAAACTACCGAAGCTTCTCGTTTTCAACGAGACTGGATAAGTTATCAAGATGAAAGAGCTTGTGCATCGCCTGGTCACTCTCGACAGTCAACAATCTGTCGTGGCAGTCTGCTCTTGTTGTCACAGGACACGAGTTGGCACCGGTTGGTGCCTACTAAGAAAGGAATGACCCCAGGGCGGTTACACTATAAGTATAGCCAATTAATCATCGTGTACGGTTTAATTAGAGAGGGGTTTCCTCTGCCTCAGCACACGTTCGGGAACGTGGCACTGGACGTGCGCTCTTTGCTGCTGCATCATGCGAAGATCAGTTCAAAGCGCGAGGAGCGAAGCCCTTCTAGGTTCGAACATGAACGGTCACTGCTACGCTTTCGGATGAGCCTGGAACGGAATGGCGTCACAGCGTTATATGCTCTGAGCTTGACTCCGGGAAGCAGAGGCAAGACAGCTCATCCTTGCACTTCTGTAAGTTGGCGTGCTGCGGTTGATTAAAAGGAGCTGCATCCAGCTCATTCTTCACTCGCTTGAACGTCTTGCAAGTCAAAAGAAACATAGTATCAAAACATTACAGAGATATGGCGCCTTCAATCAAGAACGTTGCGCTCGCCGGAGTGAGTATACTATGTGGTGTGGATATAAACAGTAACGTTAACTAACAGGCACAGGCCGGCGGCAACCTTGGACCCTCTGTCCTGAAGGAGCTCATGAATTCCAACAAGTTCAACATTACAATTCTGACCCGCAAAGTCGGATCCCAAAAGTTCCCGTCAGGCGTCACAATCAAAGAAGTCGACTACGATTCCCTCGACTCCCTGACCCAGGCTCTCAAGGGCCAAGACGCCCTCATCAACTGCATACAGACCTTCGATCCCAAGATCGCGACCCGTATGGTCGACGCTGCCATTGCCGCCGGTGTCTACCGTTACGTCCCGCCTGACTTCGGCCTCGACCCAGAGCGCGCCCATGTCCCCAGCCTGCCCATCTTCGGCCTCAAGACCATGACAAACCAATACCTGAAGCAAAAGGCCACTGAGAACGACGGAAAGTTCACCTGGACCGTCATCGCCAACGGGCCCTTCCTTGACTGGGGCATCCGGACCAGCTTCATGGGCGTCGACGTCAAGAACAAGAAGCTCTCCCTCTTCAATGACGGCGAGAACGTCGTTCCCTACACGATGCTCGCCGACGTCGGCAAGGCTATCGTCGGCATGCTGCTGCACCCCGACGAGACGGCAAACAGGATCGTGTACATTCACTCCGCTGTGAAGTCACAGAAGCAGCTGGGTGCTCTTGCTCAGGAGGCTATTGGAGGGTCGTGGGAGACCACCACCGTCGACGTTGACGCGATCTATGCCAACTGCATGGAGTCCATCAAGAAGGGCATCGTGACGCCTGAGGTCATGTACCCGCAGCTCATGTATGCCTGCTCCAAGAAGGAATTCGCTCAGCCGTTTGCGAAGAGCGACAATGAGCTTTTGGGTGTAAAGGAGATGAGCGACGATGAGTTGAAGGCATTGTACAAGCAGATCGCCTCGGAGTAGGTAGCCCCTTTTAGCCATGAGCGAGAAGGCGAATTTCGAACTGCCGAAATGAATCTCTATACACCTAGTGCCTCTTGAATCACAAACAAAACAAATACAGTGTTTAGCCATGTATTCCATGACCTGTCACATTCACCCATTCGAGTATTGAACCGTAGGTGTGGTGGGTGATGTTATATCGGCATTTGAATTCTATCTCCTTCATACACAGTACATACGAGAGCTGTTCATCAAGAAGGCCGATCAAGATATGCAGCCTCAAGCAGATGCTCTCGTGGGTTGTGGCATCAGCCATTCCGCGTCGGGTATGCCGTTCCAAACCTCCCAAAAATGCATCCAAGCCAATACACCACCATATTGGCCCTGAATCTTGTGCTCGGGTAGAGCGTAATATACACGGGGTTTTCCGATCGGCCGAGGAGAGAAATCGAGGTTCAACGAACAAGAGCGCGACGGGCGGACCAAGAAGTAGAAAAGCTTCAGGGGGTCATGCGAAACTCGAGTTTGTCGGGTCCGTGCTGTCGAGACGTAAAGCCGTGGGTACTAAGACAGCAGTATAAGAATGAGAACTTGCAGAAGAAAATCAAGTCCGTTGATGTCGTTTATCGTCCTCGCCGGTGGAAAAACAATCAATTATTGGGTTCGATTAGGAGCGGAGCGTCGGTTCAGACCTGGCAAATGACCAAGCCGTCCTCGGGGTTTTCGGTTTTAGAAGGGGATGTTGGGGGTGCCCTGGGCACCAAGAGCCTCCTGCTGCTCCTGAAGCTCCTCGCCACCAGCCTCGATAGAGATACCGACACCGATCTTTGCTTGTTGCTAAGACAACAATATTAGCACACAATTGACGAATCGTGGATGGCAAAACTTACCGCAAAGTGGTCAACATCAGCAGCCAGAGTCATCATGACGGGAGCGGCAATGCGCTTCTCCAACAAGCAGCTAAGCTTGCCCTTGGAGTCGACCTGGGCACGGAAAGTGGACATTCTGAAGTCGTACTTGGCACCAATGGTAGTGACGCCCTCCTTCTGGAAACCACCCATGACGCCCGCGGCACCGGGGACGAGCGAAAGGGACAAGTCAACACCAGCCTGGACCTTCTCAGACAGACGTCTCCAGTACGAGGTGTTCAGAGCCCCCTGAGCCTGAAGCTGAGCAGTGGCAACCCAGTCTTCGGACTTGTAGCGAGCGCAATAGGAGGTGGCAGTCTCAGGACCCTGGGTCATGGCCTGACGCTGCCAGACGGTCTCGAGACCGAGGGCAAGCTTAGGGGTGACTGACTGGAGGTAGCTTCCGATGAAGATACCAGTGACACCACCGTCGAGGCATGAGGGATTCAGCATCTTGAGGGAGGCCGTGAAGTCGTCTCCGGTGTATTCGTTCTCAAACTGGAGCATTTCCTGGCCAGCGCCAGGGGCGGCCTGGAACTGCGTTCTCGACACAAGCTTATCGGACCATCTGTAGTTGAATCGAGTGGAGAGCTGGCCATCGTTGTCCATGTTTCCTTGCATGAAAACCTTTAAAAGCAGTCAGTTGACCATGTTTGCGCTTCGACAAGCATAAGGGGGAGACGACAAACCTTGCTCGTTCCGTACAGCGCAGCAAAGGTGTAGGGGTTCAGACGGTCGCCCATCGCAAACTGATGGGAGACCTGGAACAAGGGCGACATGCTGAAGGCCTTGGTGAGGTCGGCGCGAAGGCCGGTGAACATGTAGTTGGTGAGCAGGACATCGCGCTGGACCTCCCTGGTCAGGTTCTCGGTGGTGCCGGGGTTGGACAGGCCAAGCTTCGCCCTCCGTTCCGAGAAGGAGTTGATGGCATCTGACAGAGTGTTGGCGACGGGGTTGTTCAGGAGAGCATTTTGGATTTGTTCCAAGCTTGACGCCATTGTTGCGATAGTCGGCGCCGGCCGGGGTCGAACAGAGCCGAGTAACTGGGAAACAGGAAGAAAATCGGGAAGATCGATGAAGAGACCGGATACTCTGAATCAAGTCAAATATAATACAGCTGCGACTGCCCTATAGGCCAATTATAGCTCGCGCAATGGGCAGGCAGGGGCGTTGGGGGGAGGGTCGTCGAGTTGGAGGCGGTTGGTGATGGATCGAAAAGAGTTGTAAATTTCTTTCCATGCTGATTACATTACGCAGCTGGAGGTCCTGGTCGAGCACGAGCCACAGTGCCACGCTAAATCCAATGGGAACAGCTGGCAGCCACAACTGGTCGAATCTGAGTGGAGACTTGCCTGCGTAGCTCCCAGCGTCCTGCTCAATGACAGAATCATCACGTGAGGGATTTCAGCAAAAAAATGTGTCGGTCCGAAGCTTAACCGCGTCTTGATGTCGGGTCCAAGTTCCCGACTAGTCCCTGGATGAGAGACCCTTGCCCGCATCCGGTACGTCCCCTTGGCCCTCTTCATCATTAAGCCCAACAGGCCTCCTCTCTACAGTGTTAGTCCTTGTGCTTCTCACCACCTACGCGATCTCATACTGGATAGCGAACTCCTTCAGCTCATACCTAAGATACCCACGGCTTTAAATCTGGCGTCGATTCCTGATTCTCCTCAGCAAAATCAAAACACACAAAACTCAGCGTTACGACTCGGTTGCCATTTACGGTTCGGCTTGACCAGCACAGGCCTTAAGAAATTCGGTGAAGGAGGGTCTCCCGGCAGTACCAAATTGGCGGCTTAAATCGGAACGGGGCAGCTCAGACACCAGTGTCACCTTGACCTCGGCCGCGATCACCAAAACCCTCAAAACATCTTCTTTGCGCGATTTCCCCTGAAGCCTCCGGTGCTCTTTGCGATACTTCCACACTCCTGGTGCATTTGCGTTTGTTTTCTTGAGCACCATTGACTCACAACGACCACCGCACTCCTCGAGCAGCCAGTGCGTCATTGCCGTGTCTCCGCTATTCCCCTCCGAAGCGGCCCCTCCATCCGATTCAGAGGCCGTAGCTGCCTCGAAAGCAGTCCGCTCCCGGCTCAGAACTCAAGTATAATCTTCGAACCGGTTGCGGTGCCAAATCAGAGCTTTTATTTTCTCGACCGTCAGAATGGACACACTACTGTGAGTTAGTCTTTCTCTTCTTTCAGCCCATGAGGAGGGTCTTGCTATTCCACCATCCTGCTCTTCATCTTACCTTAATTGTATCGTTTGAGCGAGTGCTCTCTTCCAACATACTTTAGGGGAGCAGTTGTATCAACCATTATCAAGCTGGCATGCGAGTGCCTACGTATGTTTCTATAAGAAACAGTTGGCCAAGACGTGTTTGCGACGTATCAAATGCCTTATCCATCTCCATGTATCTACTCTCTCGGCGATATTTCATGGAGAGTACAGACATCTCAACAGGGAGACTCGCCATTTCTGCTTCCATCACAAGAAGTACCGAAGTCAAAACAGGAAAGTGTGAGGCTACGCAATGAGCAAAGACCAGCCGTCTTTCTGAGAAGACGAGTGGCTGGCAAGTGTATGAATGACTCTCGCGGGGTATAAGAGGCTATATTGTGTACAAACATCATCGTTCAAGTCACCGAGAACTCAAACGACGAGGGGTTTTAGGAGAGTTGAACCACATGGAAGGTTCACGTCACAGTCACAGTCACAGTCATTGATTGGCAACCGCCTTTGACCACCAACAATGGAAGGCATCAGAAGAATGTGGACCTCTATATCTGGCCCGGTCAGACCACCCTCCAACTGTCGACTGTTGACGACTAATGGACCAAACACTTTGTGTGCGCAAGGGGCGGAGGTACTCCTTCATGAAAGCTTAAAGAAATAGCACGACATCATCACGACAAATAAGGCTGTTGCCAGCCACATGTGGTTTCTGTTCTTATTCCACTGCTTGAACCTTTCCTTGACTTCCAGCTCTTCTCTTTTGGCTTCCTGTCTTTTCTCCCCAAAAATCACCCCTACTACCACTGCGTCTTATCATCCACTCGTTCAGCTATCATGGCCGAAATACACGAGGCAAACATGGACACCGTGGAGGCGGTCTTCCGAACACCGAGTGCGCCGGGAGTGGCATCTATTATCTTGCAGCCTCGAGCAGAAGTTGATCTGGAAGAAGGTATTGACATCATCTCTCTTAACAGAACCGCCGAGATCGCGGCCAACGCGCCACGATACCGCCGCAAGAGCTCAACATTTATCGATGGCATCCACGATGTTCCTGAGGATCAGGATATGGCACCGGCTCAACTCTACAGTACCATGTCCGGCCGGCTGTTCCACTCTGGCCGCATTGCCATTGTCATGGTTGGCCTTCCAGCTCGTGGCAAGACGTAAGTGCACGCTTCTTGTTAACTTGACTTGTTGCTGACATTCATAGCCACATCTGTGTTTCGTTGGCGCGTTACCTCGGCTGGTGAGGCCCCCAAAATACGATTTGTGTTTTTAAATTGGGTGTTCTTGTGCTCATTGCTTTTAGGTTGGGTGTCAAGACTCGCATCTTTCACCTCGGTGACTACCGCCGCGCTACAGTAGGTAAGGGTGGTATAGTCCCCGAGGATTACTTCTTCCCCGACGCGTCTCCTCAGTCAGTCATTCTTCGCCAGAAAATCTTGAAGAAGTGTCGTGAGGACATCTATGCTTGGTTGAACCACGAGAATGGCCAGGTCGCCATTTACGATGCTGTCAACCCCACTGCCGCTGGCCGTCGTGCGCTGGCTAAGGAGCTCGGGAAGCATGACGTTCAGGTGAGATGCATCTTGATCTCGTATCCTAGGTGCCTATCTAACATTACACAGACACTCTTCATCGAGTCTTACGTCGATGATGAGGGCATATTGCGCGAGAATGCCCGCAATGTCAAGATCTCTTCTCCTGACGTACGTGCCAGCTCACAGACCTCAAGGTACTCGTTACTGACCGTCACAGTTCGCCGGCATGGATCCTGATGAGGCGGCTAAGTTGTACCTGCGCCGTATCGATATGAAGATCCCTGTCTTTGAGACCATGGACGAGAAGGAGCTCAACTACATCAAGATGATCAACGCGGGCCAGAAGTTCTTTTACAACAATGTCTCGTTTGGTTACCTCTCTCACCGCATTGTTTTTTACCTTACCAACCTGCACATCAAGTCGCGCACCACCTACTTTGTCCGCGCTGGCGTTACCACCGAAGAGGACTCGTACAAGGCCGACGCCCCTCTCTCTGAGGAAGGAATCGCGTATGCTGCCAGGATGTCGGAGACCTTGCTGAAGCATCGCGAGCAAGAGCGTGCTGCCCTTGTCGAGAGAGGCGGCCCTGATGTCCCTCTTCGCCCCCTATCTGTCTGGACTTCCACGCGTTGCCGAACCGTCCAGACTGCCGACTATCTTAAGAAGAAGGGCTTCAAGGTCCGCCAGCGCTCACAGATGAGCCAGATCAACCCTGGCGTCTGCGAGAAGATGTCGGAGCGTGCCATCCGCCACATCTATCCCGAAGAAGTTGAGAAGCACGAGCTTGACCCCTACCACCATAGATACCCGCGGGCTGAGGTGAGCAACCCAACATCACTTCTTTCGACTTTCTGTGAAACTGACGTTATGTAGTCCTATCACGACCTTGCTGTCCGTCTGGAGCCCATCATTCTCGAGCTGGAGCGCGAGCAGAGCGACCTTCTCATCATCGCCCACGAGTCGGTCCTCCGCGTGCTTTACGCCTACTTGATGCACTGCGCGACGATGGACATTCCCGTCCTCAAGTTCCCCCGCGACGAGATCATCGAAATCATTCCTGCCGCCTACCAGAACGAGGCCAAGCGCATCCACATCCCCGGCATCGACCCCAAGATCACCCCCGGCTCTCCCGAGGACATTCGCATCCCTGTCCCCGGAAGCGGTCCCGCGAGCGGTAATCTGTCGCCCATGCCGGGTCTTTCATCTCCGGCTGAGCCCGCCGAGCGCCCTCCCGAAAAGGTTATCAACAAGGCTGCGGAGATGGTCGCCGACCGACAGAACGACGAGGACTAGACCATGACCTATCTGCGACTCGGATGGGGAATTTCTTAAAATCGCTCAGACGAACGAGGGTATTTCCCCCTATTTCAAACGTGAACTCGAACGATCAAAGGATGGAACTGGGTTTTTGATATATCGATATCGATCAGGTTCGGCAGGTCGGAGGAGTGGAGGCACCGGAGGTGGAATGGGGTATTGTTTACGCTTCTGCCGTAATACGGGTTTCTCATGGCTTTTGCTCTCGTCCCCAATGGATATGGCTCATTCAGAGGGAAACCGGACAGGGGGTTGGGCACTGACAAGCCGAACAATGATCACGGTCACGGAACAAGTGAAATAGCTCAACTTGACGAATGACGACCTAGTCATCACAATATCATTAACCCATCACCCCAAGCTCTCCGTCGCGCAGGGATATCTAAAATTCCATTCGTGTTTCTTCATCCGTGGTATTCCGTTTGTCTAAAGAATCCGTGAACGCCCTTCCGCTCCCCACGTCTGTGCTACGTACTGCTACATCTTGCGTAGTTTTCTGTAGTTTACTTGTACGACTTCCAAGTCTAAGCCCGCCCAAACTCCTCGCTTTGCTGGGGCCGAGACAGGCTCTCGCCAGTCCGACCTAAATAGACTTGCTGAATGCTGATGGCCCATCCTCCTATCCGTTGTTCATCCTCCCCTTTTTTTTCTGGTCGACATGCGTCTACATCACTGCGCATTCTCGCTCCGGTTCCTCCCCATCCTTGTTCTTCTTCTTTTCCGCGGAGCGGTTCTTGGATTTGCCCCGCTTGTGTCCATGCTTGTGGTGGTGCTCCGAGGATTTTCTCTCCTTGAGATCTTTAGAGTCCTTTCTCTCCGGGTCTGCCACCGGGGTTTGGTCCGCCTCTGCATTTTCAACAAACTCCTCTTCGGTCACCGAATCAGGTACAGGGGCGCTGACAGATGCCACTAGCGCGTTGTTGCTCGCGTTGCTGTTGAGGTCGCGCAGCGGCTCCTTGCTTGGCCGCATGAGCCCACCAATCCGAGACATGGTGAGGCTGATGCGACCCTCGCCCGCTTGACTCGTGGGTCTGCTCTTGTTCTTGCCTGTGAAGAGGGCGGCAGCGCGAGAAAGTCGTTGCGCCGTCGTTTCTTCGCCTGGTGTAACGGCCGGCGACACGCCATCGGGAGTGACTGATGGTGTGCCCTGTGTCGAGTCTGTAAAGTTGACACTGCCACGACGTGAATCCTTGAAGCCCAAGTATGGCTCGTCATCGCCAAAACTGATACGGCTGGGCCTCTCCAGTTCCGACGAAAACCGGATGCTTGGTGCCTTGGGTGGCGATATCGAAGTGTTCTCGAAGTAGTCGCTCTTTGACGATGACATTCCCGATTGATTGCCGTTGCCATTGACGGGGTTAGGCGTAGTCGGCAAGTTGACGCTGACCTTGGACTCATTGTAAGAGGGCGGCTCCGTCTCAGTCTCCTCCGTTGACGCAACCTCGACCATTGGCACTATCTGGTAGAACAGGAGATAGGGCATCTCGTCCTTCAGTGCCTGCTTGATATCGTCCACATATGTCACCCTATTGTCGATGTCCAGGTCGTCGAACTTGACCCATTGGGCTTCTTCATAGTCGGGAGGTGGATCACGCTCGTGCCGCCTGTTGTCAGTAAGAAGCTTTGGAGCCACTCTTGCGAACGAGACGTAGTGTCCACTGTAGAGTGATTCGCCACGATGGCAGACCACGGACTGAAGCACCAGCTTGTACTCCATACTGAAGCCATTGGGGTCCTCCTCAAGCTGCGTTTCGTCTCCAAGCATGAAGTGCGGCAACCTCAAGCTGTCCGGGATGTCGATGAATGTGTTCTGGCGTTGCGGAATGCCAGAGTTCGTCATCATGTACCGCTTGAGACAGATACCAACCACGGGTCGCTGGTTAAAGTTCATGGCAACATCCATATCGTTCTTGGGCTCCTTGTTCCCAGCAGCATGCCAAGGGATCAGCTTGAAAAACTGCCACGCCGGAATCGTCACAGCCTTGACCACAGTCGAGCTCGTCCGTCGCGCCTTTTCCAGCATGCTTGGAGTCTCAGACTCTTTTCTTTGGTCCTTCTCTTCCAGCACAACCCGCTGGATAACACTAGTTGAGCGGTGCCTTGGAGTCGGCCGCGAAGAGCCACTGGGCGACTCAGGAGCGCCATTTGGTGGCTGTGATGCTGTCCACTGGCGTTCAAGTGGCGACAGCGGTAGCGGTGACGCGCTCAGGGTGTCTGCTGCCTCTGACTCCTGTCTATCTTCTCGGGTGACTAGCCGTATGGTGTTCTTGGTTGAAGCCGATCTCTCCAGCTCTTTCTTTTCTTCGTGGCTATCTCTCAGCACGTCCACCTGTGTATTGAAGTATTCCTCCAGACAGTCCTCGAGTTTAATTCCCTTGCCTTCGGGGTCCGGGGGCACTGCCAGGTTCAGGAGTCGTTCGTAGACCAGTTTATGGTCGTCCTTGTCATTCTTTCCTTGGTGGAAAAGGTCGACTTGCAGTTGTAAGAGAGGTAGTTGAAGTGTTTCGGTGACGAACGCAAAAGCTTCGGAAGTGTCTTGCTGTTCTAGGAGCTTGGCGTCGCTCCAGCCGCAGTCGGCGAGGGCATCTTGGATCAGTTTTGTCTATGCCGGTTAGCGACGGCTGGGTGGGTCATGGGAAGAATTACGACCTACCATATCCGTATGGATCATCTTTCCGCTCCTGAGCATATTCACCCACAACCGTAACAGTGTAACCAGTCTGCGCTTTGGTTCGTCCGTAAACTCGTTTTTCAGCATGCATTCAAAAGCGTCCAGCTTCGCGAACATGGCGAACAGCAGGGAGTCGAGGTAGCAAGTGACGTTGCCCCTATTCTCTGCGCCGACCATCTCGACTTGTGGGTTGTAGTGTGTGATTTTACCGGCCATGGCCTTACATTGCAGCTGGATAAACTCGACCGTCTTGTCGACATCGCCCTCGGCGAATTTGCTGTTCAGGGAGTCTCGAATGTGCTCGGCAGATACATCGGTGATGTTGGACTCGGCAAGAAGGCGTGTAATGTCTTCGACCTGTTGCGCAGTTAGACTTCCGTAATCTCGACGGGTTGTGCCCTTGTGTACCTTTGCCAACTCTTTCTCCTTAACCTCGTCGTCGCTCGGTGGTCGGTCACTCTTGAAGAGCGCTCGAAAAGCTTCGGCTGAGAGTGGTCGGCTCTAGTCCCAGGGGAATATAAAGTTAGCGTTGGTGTCGCTATAGGAACACTCTGCGCAAGCGCTTCGCATTGTATACACAGCCAAGGGACTTACCTTGTGTCCTGGCTCAGAGGACTTGCTCCTGCGTTGGTTTCCATTCCTATCCCGCAGGCTGAGAAACTTCTTGCCCTTCATGTTGACAGATGTGATTTTTTTTCGCAGCGGGAAGCCAAGATGGCCAGCTGGTCGTGGTTGGAGCCCAAGGGGCTACTCGAGAAAAGCAATGGCCTCAACGGTCGAGATTCATGACCAGGTTGCAGTCGCACCCCCATCGGCCAGCAATATGGGAGTGGAGAGCAATATTGAGAGCGAAGTTGAAGAATGCACCAAATGCGAGATAGGTATGGAGGGGCTTTGGCGCGTCTCGGCGGGGCAGATTTTCGCACTCGCAAAAGACGGGGCTGGGGTGATCAGTTCTGGACCTCTTGGAAGGTCAATATGCAGGGCAAGAGGATTTGGCGGTCCAGGGGCTCTTGATACGAATGAAGATCGGAAAAGCGGTTGTGTGAAAAAAATGGTATTGGTCGATGTTTGGCTGCTGAGAGAAATTTGTTGCCGGGTTCGCAGGAGGACAGGTGAAGAGCGTGGAAGTGGGAAGGCAATCCTGTCCAGTGGTTGAATACACGGGGGGACAGCTGAAGCAATTAAGGTAGCGAAGCCGTTCAACTGGCTCTTGGTGCCAGCAAGGATCAAAAAGGCTGGCTCGTGGATTTTTGGCTGGACAGATTCGGGGTCCAGTGTAAGCGACTCTGGCAGGGTGCGCGGAACGGTGGAGAGACCCCAATTAGGTCGCCAGGTACCGACACGGCAAAGCTTGGGCGTGCAGTACTTTGTGGTCCCTAGAAAGTAGGGTTGCCGGGTGCACTCGGTGTTCCTTGCGGACTTGCCATCCATCAGTTGGCTTCGGAGTCTGGGAGCGCCTTGTCGCTGAATGGCGGCGGCGGCAAGGCGGACTTTTGGACTTTGAGGATTTTACGACCCGAAGTTTGCCTTCGTTGTCTCGTGTTGAGGATGACCGTGACCCCGAGCTTACCTTACTTAGCTTTCCTTCAATGCTCTAGCCAACCTTGACCTTGGCGTGCAGAGAGACGTGAGTGTGAGTGTAAAGCCAGAATGTTCTGTCCGTTAGCCTTAGCTGCCACATTTCTTACATATGACCGGGCCCCATATGATCGAGCGAAAGTTGCCTGCCTCAACATCCAACGTCCACGCGAGGTGACATACGTAAGGCCCATCCATCGTGGGAGGAACATCCGAATTGGGCCAGGTCGCCCAGTTCCTAGGATGCAAGTGGCAAGCCGCCCATCGCATCAATCGCAGGTCATTCGATCCCCCGGCCCCAACGTTGAACAATGACTGGAACTCTTGGCCTGGAGGGGTAAAGAACATTTCAGGCGGGACGTGACTCTCCCAAGTCTCGCCTCTCGTTTCGTGGTGCTTCTGAAGTGGCCCGAATGATACCCTCTGCCACACATCCTGGCGTGTTCCTTATTTACGTAGATCCGACCTCATGGCTCGCGGGCCCATGCTCCGAGTTTCACAAGCCTCCGTCTTACTCACACAGATCAGACTTCAGCCAAGAACAGACGATGAGCAGAAATAGGAGAAAGCCGGTAAAGAAGGCCGCCTTTTGCCAAAGCCCCAGAAGCTCAACTCTATTTCAGTAGTAGCCTCACGGGCGAAGCATTCACCTCTTTACCACCTTAGGCAAACTTAGTAACAATTGGACATACCCTCGTGGCGTCACCTGTCACTTCCGAACCCATGTTGAACATTGATGCGACAGCGACACTAAGCTCCAATCCGAAGAGATGGGCTCGCGTAACCGTACACGCTCGCTTTCGCGTCCATCTTTGGCACAATCAGGCAACCTGCATAGTAGCGCGTACGCAGCCGCCCATCGAGATGTACAATGTCCATCATGCCTGTCTGTGCCATCGTCCCATCTTTGCCTGCTCGTGTCCGAGAGCGCTGCTGATAATCCCCCCACCTTGTCAGCTCGAGCGGAAGACAAGCTCCAGCTCTGCACGCGTAGGCACTCGCTGACCCATTGAGCCGGTGACCGAATTTCAGCTGGGGCCGAATGACTGCTACGTAATCGAGCGGCGTCTTCGATATACCCGCTCTAGAGGATGGATCGTCGGTGCCTCGCTAAATCCGACGATTCGGTGGGGGAGGACGATGAATGAGTCGGACGGCGAGCTTGGTTGCAGATGACGACAGACCACCACCCCCAGTGACCCCAAAGGCCCGAAAGTCCGGAGAATCCACTCAAGTCGGATGCTGCTGGTCACGTTCGCTCCGACAGCCTCCGGGTGAGGCAACGATGGCCCGTACCTTTTGGCCTGAGATCATAGGCCTGAAATCGCGGGAAGTTTATGCCACATCGTCCAGAGATGTATCCACTTTAAGCTGCTTCAGCCACACGTGGCACGGTCCCGACTTGAACATTTCGAGATTGAAATTTCGGGCATCGCGACTGACCCTTACAGACGTGTTGAGTTGCGTGACAGTTGAGACGACTAGCCATGGCCACTCTACGGGAAACCTCCCGAATAACTCGGGCCATCTGCAGGCAGCGCTCGCCGTGGCATTTGACACCTCTTGTCGCCCAGCGATGCGCATCCACCAGCGCCACGAAGGCTGAGCTGGCTGACCTCGAGGCCGGCTCGTCCCTGGCTGCGCCGGGCCCCGACGATGCTGCCGTGCAAGCTTTCAACACGGCGAAGCGTACGTCTGAGAGACCGCAGCAGCTTCCCGGAAACAGGTACACCATCTCAATACAGCTTGCCATGAGAGGGAGGCAGAGAGCTAACATATGAGGCGATAGATACCAGTACCACCCCCCTAAGTTCGATCGAGGCCCTTTGCACCCGATTCAATCACCTCCCTCCTCCGACCCCACAGCGAGAGACTTCGTTCCCGGACCGTTCAACATCCCCCGCCTGCGCCAGACTTACGATGCGACCGTCGCCTCAGACCTTCTCACAATGACCTACCTCCATAAGCCCCCCGGAACACCAGAGCGGGAGGTGCGAGAGCGGTTAAGGGCGTGGGACGACTCCTCGCCGTACAACAAGAACCGTCCGCTCCGCGGGCCCAGAGGTGGAAGCAAGCTCGACGTGCTAGAGAAGAACATCAACTGGCGCAACATCCCCGAGATCAAGGCCGTCTCGCTGCACGCCTTCATGCCCACGGCCGCTAAGGTCCCCGGAACGCTGCATGTCGCCCGCTCCGTCATCCAGTCCATCAGCGGCAACTGTCCCGAGGTCACCAAGACCAAGAACAACGTTGTTCAGTGGAAGATCCGCAAGGGCGACAAGGCCGGTGTCAAGACGACCATGTACGGCTACCAGGCACACGAGTTCCTCGACAAGTTGATCAACCTCGTCCTACCCAAGATCAAGGATTGGCCCGGTGTTAACGCCAGCACGGGTGACGGCAACGGCGGCTTGGCTATCGGTCTGAGGCCCGATGATCTGGCCTGGTTCCCTGAGCTCCAGATCAACTACGACATGTACCCTGCCAAGGTGAGATGAGCTGTCTGCCTGCATTGTGTGATTCTTATGCTAACGAATCTGTGTAGCTCCTTCCAGGTTGCCATATTTTTATCCAGACCAGCGCCACGTCGAACCGCCAGGCCAGGCTTTTGCTCCAGGCTCTCGGCCTTCCTTTCTACGGAAAGTTTAGGGATTAAAAAGAGGGACATTTGCGGGGAAGGGTGTCCTGTATTGTACGATATCAAAATATTAGAAAGCCTGTATATGAATGTACCAACAGATACGGTCACCCATCATGCCTCTCCTGCCGGATGCGTGAAAAAAAAATAAGTTTCATGGTTCTCTTCCTGCGGTAGTAATTCGTTCAATCCCGTAATCCCAGTTTGTTGGTCGTCCCGTACGTCAAAGGCCCTTCATGCCGTACCGCCCGCCCAAACGCCGTTCATGCAAAGCCCTATGCCGAAAATTCTATATTGCCTTTTTTAGGTTTTCCCTCATGCCGCCGTGATCTTGGCTCTGAGACCGTCCATGACCTCGTCAACGTTGTCCATGTTATCGGCGTCAACCTTGCCGGAACGAATGCCCTTCTTCTCTAGCTCGTCCGTGAGGACGTTCATGGCGGGCTGGTAGTTCCGCACGGCGGAGCTAAGGGCGTAGATGGCCTTTCTTCGCACGGCCTCCTCCTCGCCCTCCTTGGTCGCCAGGGTCAGGAGCGGCGGGATGCCGCCGACGGCGACCAAGCGCTCCTGGCTGGGCTGGTTGTTTTGCACGGCGGTGCCGATGCACCAGGCGGCCATGCGGCGCATCTCGTGCTCATCGTGCTCGAGGCAGCCGAGAAGCGGGGTCCAGAGGGAGAGGTTGGCGATGTTGTTGGCGTTGTCGAGGTTCTCAATGAGCTGCTCAAAGTTGTCAAAGGCGATGAGCTTGTTGTCAAGCGTGATCTCTGGGTCCGTCGAGGTGATAGCATCCATGGAGAGCTTCATCAGCTCGGCGTCGCTAGGGCCGTTGCCAAAGAGGGCGGCGATAGCCTCAGGGTTGAGGTTGCTGGCGGGGGCTGCCGGTGCCGCCTCGCCATTCTGCTCTGCCGTGCCGTTTTCAATGCTCCATTTGAGGAGTTCGTTGAGGTTCCTGTCCATGATGTAGGAGGTGATGAGTGATGTTGGTGGTGTCGTATCTGGGAGTCGTTTCTTCAAACGATTATTGGCAAGTACGAGCGAAGGTGTTGCAAGACTGAGACAGAAATTCAGATGTGTGTATTGGGTAGTTGTTTGTGAGTTGTTGTCAACAGCCTTCAGTCACTTATTCACTTTCACTTAGAATCTCATCGACATCAAAAAGTTCTCCATCATTAACTGCCCCCCATCCGCAGCGCTGACTGGCTGCACTGATTTGCTACCCTTTTCTGGAACCTTCAAGAAGCTTGCCAGTCCCCAAAGAAGTTTAGCGCAGATCTCACGTGAGAGCCCTGATCAGGGCCAGCTCAATGCGCGCGTTTATGCAGCTCAAAGTTGAAACTTGGGCAGAGACAGACCGTCTTCTATGCCCAACAATGGGATCGTCATTGGTTCCTGAGTTGGCAATTCATCGGCCAGTCGAAATTGTTAGTGCATTGGAGCCCTTGGGGTTTGAGGGACAGCCGGGAATTGGTCTCGTTCGAGAGATGAACGAGGAAATGGTGAATCTCCCCGGGTGGCTGGTGAAGAACCAAAAAAAGTTCCCAGCTGCCCCACCATGGATTGAATTGCCCCTCATTGCCGCTTTAACCATCGGCTGTGGACAGAGCTTCCACGAGCTAAGTGACTACGACGCTGAGTGAGCTGAGTACCTGGTCTCCGAGCGATGAAGTCACCCGAGCCCTTAAGCCTGGCAGCTCCCTCGAGTTGTTGCATTCAGTCGTCAGTCATGGGTAGGCAGACTAAGACTTGCTTCAGCCTTGCATCTTCTCCCGAATAACCCTCCCTGGTCTTTCATTTCAATCTTGCATGCCTTGTCCGAGAGGCCGTACTATGTATCAACCAGGCATAGCGTCCCGTCGCACCTAGTGTAGAACGTAGATGACAGGTCGCCAACTTCCTACGCGCAGTATTACTATATCCGATCTGTGCTAGGAGGCCTCGATCAACGGAGACACCGTCCGGCAAACCGGAGCTCAGCCACACTAGAAACGTAGCACAGTATGGCCGCTTCTTGTTGGGACTCCCACACAAACGGTCGAAACAACCGCTTGTAGACACGCGTTCGTCTCCAAGTCGAGTGCAAGTCTGGTAAAGGAGTATATATTAAGTTGCGATGCGAAATGCGAGGCTGGCACCCGAGATCCCCATGCCAGAATGGCTCCCTAGGACCCTGGGCATCGATCCCGCAAAATGCGTCCATACGCGGGTACGCAATTTGGAGAATCAGAGCCGCGACCCATTCAGGAGAGTACGGCCCTTGCATGAAGCAGGCCTTCTGGCGTCGGCGTCCATGTGCAGTCCAGTACCGTAGGCACCCAAATTACCCTCACGTATGTCGTGCCTCCACGCCGTTCGTCGGCTTGCATCCGGAAAGGCCGCGAAGACGGCCAGAAGGCAGATAAATCGTCTTGGGAACCAAAATAGATTATGCCTGCTTGGCATCTTCGCACAGGCGTTTGCTGCTGACGGCACGAGATGACGTACGACTCGGGGACGGAGGTAGTGGGAGGAGGCATTTGGGCATGTGGTTTGACTGGCGCAAATCCGCCCGCCGCCGTCAAGCATGAACCATAACCAGGCGGTCGCGGCGGGAATCTTGTTGAGTCTCACGTGGGCTTCGAGGAGCGGCCCCCGTTCCACAGTCCCTGATGAGATGGGATGGATTAGCGATACTGTGCAGCCATTTCTGCTTTCTCCTCTGCTCCCTGCTCGCTGATGAGGTGGTGGTCTTGGCCGAGGTGCTCCCATGCTACCGTGCTCTCGCCTAGGTCAACCTTGTCTTTTCATTAGGTAGTAGCGTGCGTGCAGGTGGTTGATGTGGGGATGCCCTTGAAGATAATAGAACAACCACAGTCCAAGAAAGGCCCAGTGTACTGTCGGGACCGTGGCTTGGCTCAATTGGTCCGTGGACGTGGTCGTGGAGGTGAGCCTCTCACCGTCCGTTTCAAGCTGCCTAGAGAGCAGACGCTGCGGCAAGAGGGTGACGAATGCGTATTGCCGCCGCCAGCAATGACTTCGCTGCCTGTTGGTCTGGAGCAGTAATCAAGTCGCATTGGCCCTTGATGTTCTCAAGTCTTGCTGTGGTTATCTCCGCAGAGCCAGCAAAGAAGGGTTAAATAAAAACCTGGAGGCAAACCCGCGCATGTCTGGACACGATAGCCTCAAGATCTTCAAGTCTGTGACCTCGGGCGAGAAAGACGATTCCTGTCCAATACTTCGACTCCATCGACTTGGTTGTGCCCCTTTCCTTCCCCAGCCACCAGAAAATCAGCGGCCCAGCCCGGAGAAAAAAGAAGACAACGATACCTCTTGCGTCGCACATCGACTCAGCAAGGTCTGAGGTACCTTTCCCTCTGGCCTAGCTCACATCCCCGGTCAATCACAGAGCGCCCAAGTGAGTGAAGTGCGTTCCCTCCCGTACCCCACCACACTACTTGCCAGTCCCAAGTGGTGAGCAGCAAAGGAGCAAAAGCACGGGCCTCAAATCTCTTTGAGTGGGTGAGAGACTGGCGAGATAGCGAGAGAGGAGGGACAGCTAAAGCAGCAACTCCTTCCCCGGGCACGCTGCCACTTTCTGCCACCTGTTCCACGCTCCTGCCTACCCACCTTTGCCCGCCGCAGCCATTTGCTCACCCACAAGTCGGGTTAGGTCTGCTTCTGACATCGAAACCTGGCCCGCCAGCAGCAAAGCAGCAGCCAACGAAACGCCGAGTAGCGACAGCCAGCGCTCACCGCACACTGTGCTTGCCATTCCCACTCTTCTCCTTCTTCCCCCCTCCTCCACCCAAAATTGACTACCTCTCATCTTCCCGTAACCTTTCCCACTTTCGACCTCACCACCCATCGACGTGCCCTCTCCAAGTTCTTTGCCATCCGCTCAGGACTTCTGCCAGTTCCATCTCGCTCCTACGATTCCGGAATCGAGTGAGCTGTCTTCATTTCCATCTACGAATCCTCTCGATTTTCCCAGTCCTCACCCACCACCCTAATTCAAAATGGAAGGTACGTGACGCCATCTCTGCCAACAACTCCTCTCCAGACCCCGACGCTGTCACGTCTCCGCCGCCCGTCGTCGCGATGCTCGGCATCCATCGATACGCGTCGTTTCTTGCATCCCATTGCTAACGTTCGTCTGCAGAGGAGGTTGCTGCCCTCGTCATCGACAATGGGTAAGCTTTCCCCGCCATCTCACCGACCATTCCGCCTCCCGGGCCTCGAAGGGATCTGGCCAACCGCCAGACCTCACGATAACCCATTGGCACACCATCCATCGATCACACATCCCCTGCAATGAGTTTCATTCTGACTTGAGTCCAGTTCGGGTATGTGCAAGGCCGGTTTCGCCGGTGACGATGCGCCCAGAGCTGTCTTCCGTAAGTCCCCCTCATCCGCTGACCGCAATCTTCCCCCGTCAGGGGCATCGAGATTCGGTCAAAGATTGTCGGAACCGTCGATCCTAACCGCCCCGTAGCCTCCATTGTCGGTCGCCCCCGTCACCATGGGTAGGTTTTGATTCTTGCTGCGGCAATTTCCCCCGCCCGCGCCGCATCGACCTAACATGTGAACAGTATCATGATTGGTATGGGCCAGAAGGACTCCTACGTCGGTGATGAGGCACAGTCGAAGCGTGGTATCCTGACGCTCCGCTACCCCATCGAGCACGGTGTCGTCACCAACTGGGACGACATGGAGAAGATTTGGCACCACACCTTCTACAACGAGCTCCGTGTCGCCCCCGAGGAGCACCCCGTCCTCCTGACTGAGGCCCCCATCAACCCCAAGTCCAACAGAGAGAAGATGACCCAGATCGTCTTCGAGACTTTCAACGCCCCCGCGTTCTACGTCTCCATCCAGGCCGTCCTGTCTCTGTACGCCTCCGGTCGTACTACGGGTATCGTCCTCGACTCCGGTGACGGTGTCACCCACGTCGTCCCCATCTACGAGGGTTTCGCCCTTCCCCAGGCCATTGCCCGTGTCGACATGGCTGGTCGTGACTTGACCGACTACCTGATGAAGATCCTTGCCGAGCGCGGCTACAGCTTCTCCACCACCGCCGAGCGTGAAATCGTTCGTGACATCAAGGAGAAGCTCTGCTACGTCGCCCTCGACTTCGAGCAGGAGCTCCAGACCGCTTCCCAGTCCTCCAGCTTGGAGAAGTCCTACGAGCTTCCTGATGGTCAGGTCATCACCATCGGCAACGAGCGTTTCCGTGCCCCTGAGGCTCTCTTCGCTCCTTCCGTCCTGGGTCTTGAGAGCGGTGGTATCCACGTTACCGTCTTCAACTCCATCATGAAGTCCGATGTCGACGTCCGTAAGGACCTGTACGGCAACATCGTCATGGTATGTTTTCCACGGCTCCTCAAACATCCCACGCCAATGTCTAACCGTTTCTTAGTCTGGTGGTACCACCATGTACCCCGGTCTCTCCGACCGTATGCAGAAGGAGATTACTTCTCTTGCTCCTTCTTCCATGAAGGTCAAGATCATTGCTCCCCCCGAGCGCAAGTACTCCGTCTGGATCGGTGGTTCCATCTTGGCCTCCCTGTCTACCTTCCAGCAGATGTGGATCTCCAAGCAGGAGTACGACGAGAGCGGTCCCTCCATTGTCCACCGCAAGTGCTTCTAAGGTAAGTGGCGTGGTCTGGAGTTGTGAAATTCAACAAGTGCTAACCCGTATGCAGCGACTTGCCTCCCGAACCACATCCTCGCCCTTCCGAAAGCACATCGATCCCAAAGAGGTCCCGACCGGTGCAAGGTCTCTCCGGCGTTGCATGTATCGCAGTCAGGTCTCATATTGGCGAAAAGTTGTTGACATGGTCAAGAAGTTTGGGTCGACCCTTCTCCCGAAAGATTTGGTCCTTGTTTTGTAGCAGGGTGCGCGTGGGCGCGTATAGGGGCGGACACGTCTGCAACTGAGGTCGATCATACAATACACTTTGCTTACTGTTCCCGAGTTTCGCACATCCGGTATTATTGTGATGTTGTATTTTCACGATAATGATTTTAGCCAGGAGTAAAGATGAATCAGTTTATTCTCCAGACGATCTACTACAATAAGATGCCGCGATGCTAAAGTTTTGTGCCTTGTACATTTGGACCGGTGTCCGTTGAAGTTGCCGGTTCGACATGCGTGCTCGGTGCGCTGTTCATCTGGTCTTCAGCATGTTGCTCTTTGACCTCCACCTCGCCCGTTTCGCCCTGTTCCTTTTGTTCTTCCAACTGGCGGTACTTTCTCTTGCTCTTTTTAGACGCACTCGCCGCCTTCTTGCGCTTCACCTCGCCAACTATGGCAGAACGACTTTGGTCCCCGTTCTGCAGGTCGTCAAGCTTTTGCGCCAGGATCTCGCGGGCAATCTTGCGGTTCTGGGTTCGGGAGCGGGTGGCCTGGGACTTGACAACAATGCCCGTGGGGATGTGTTTGAGCTGCACGGCTGAGCTCGTCTTGTTCTGTAGAGGGGCAGAAGAGCTAGTCAGTTATGCTAGACCGGTACTGCCTTGGATAGCTCTAGGCCGAAGAGAAAGTCGAGAGAGCTCACAATCTTTTGTCCACCCGGCCCGCTGCCCTTAAGGTAGGACTCTTCGATCTCCGAGTCTGGGGGCGGTTTGGGCCGGGGTGGCATCTCGTGCTTCTTCAGCGCGGCGGACGGGGATGCGCTGAAGAGAGCAACGAGGGGCAGGCGATACTGCTGCTGCAGCAGCAGCAGCGCCGGCCTTACCGTAGCGCAGCGGCAACGCATAAAGGCATTGGCGTTTGCTGCCCCGGCTAGGCGTGAGAGACAGGTTAGAAAGGGTAGAGAAGGAGGCATCGCGTGCGCCGGGCCATTGTCCGTGGGTCTGGGATGAGGTTTCGAGATGCTACTGCGCGAGGCTTGAGGTTCAGAGCGTAAGGTCGCGTTGATGCCAGCCGGCGGGCCTGCTAGAGTGCATGACGGACCAGAGGATGCTAGAATTGAGGCGACCAATCATGGGTAGGCTTTACTCATAGTAGGGGATGGGTCAGGGGCGGGAACAGTACCTAGATGCGCTGGAGATGATCGCTGTAAATTGGCCCCCACTTTTGTTTTGCTGGCGGTGTGGACACCGGGGCTCTCCCGTCAGTGCTCTCCCACACACGTCGTGGACGCGGATCGGTCGGTATCGGTTGGCTGCTGAGTGTTTTGTCCCGCGGGCGGGCCCCAATTTCTCTGATAAGATTCCCGCGCGAACCGTCTCGGACGAAGTTTGGCTCCTCCTCCAACCACTCCTTCACCACGGCGGAAATCATAACCTCTGGGTTTTCCCTTGTCGACGACCTGCACGCAAAGCAACTAGAGGTGTCAAGTTAGACTTTCTCTGACGACATATCCTCCTTCTTTTCTCTTCGAAAACGACAGACTTGGCATACGCATGACTCCCTCGCCTCCTTTTTTTCTTCTCTCCCGCATTTCCTCGTGACCCGCGGCGAACCCTTCTCCTGAGCATCCGCCTCGAACCACACCGGTCGAAAATCGCATCCCGAGCGGCGAACGTCCACAGACACCGAGACAGTTGAGCCCGAATTCTCGGCGAACATCCAAAATGTCGGCCCTCCAGTCTTTCAGCAAGTGGTTGCACCTGAAGCAGTACCAGATCGAGGTCACCTTTAGCGTCTACATCTTCACGCCCCTGGAAAAGTTCATCTTTTGTATGTTGCCTACTCCCTAGAGACTGCCTCTTTTTCCCAGCCCTAATCGCCAATGAACGATCTCCGAACGACCAGACTAACTCTCTCCCCGCAGACACCGTCCTCTTCCTCCTCAGCAGCCTGACCATCATCGCGACCGTTCTCTACCTGCCCCAGCACATCGCCTTCCTCATGAGCCGCGCCTGGTTCTACATGCACGGCGATCCGATCGATGTCGTCGTCGACGCGGTGGTTGACGCCGTCGAGGTTACAAAGGCTGCCGTCGAGAGCGTGTTCACCGCCGGATCGACCACGACCGCCGTCGCTCTGGCCCAGGAGACCGTCGAGCTCGTCAAGGAGCTATAGGCGCCTTTCCTCCCCTTTTCCCCGCCGCCTGTGTGCGGAACATGAGACGGAACGATGGTAATGTGCTGGATGACAAAACAAGAACAGGAGAAGGAAAAGGGGGCTTTAATAGCGACACGCTTGGCGGACGTCTGATGAAGAGCTCGAAGGGCGTTGTGCGAGGCTGTCGTGCTGGTTTGTCTGCTTCTGGTGCGGGCGTTTGTGTTGGTTTGCCACTCTCTTGGTTTGGTTTGAGCGGCCTGGACGAAGACGCATATATAACTCGTGCATGCGGCAACGCATGTCTAATCATACCCTCATACATAAATACTCAATGGAAAGCCTCCCTGTCTACGGGAGCACGTAGATTCATTCGCTCGTCGAGTTGGACGCTCTCAGTGCGGTGAAGTTGTATATTCTCAGGGAACTATCCTCGCCGGCGATGGCCAGCTCGTCCGCGTCGCCATCGCTATTGGAAGGACGCCAGGCGAGCTGGGCGACTGGCTTGGGCAAGCATAGGCTTCAAGTATGGTTAGTTAAGGTTCTGAGAACACAACATCGCACAAAAGGGGAACTTACTGCGACTCCAGCTGGACTGTCCCAGCCGACTGGAAGGTCTCAGGGGCTAACTTGCACAGCGAGATCTTGCCAGACTCGGTGCCCACCGCGAGGATGAGTCCACCTGCCGCACCCTGTCTGCCGAGGAAGTCGACAGCCGTAACGGGGCCATCGAAAGCGATGCTCGACGCCAGGGCGAATTCCGTCTTGCCGCCCTCCTGGGTCTTTTCAACCCACACCTTGGCGTTCTTGTCACGTCCCGCCGTCACGAAGACTCTGGCGCTCGTGGAGGGGGCCCACGCGGCGTCCAGAATCATACGTGTGTGGCCCTTGGGGTTGGCCTGGAGCAGGTGGTACTGCGAGCGCTCCTGGTCGTCGCGCTCGAATACGGCCCACTGCCTGTCTCTTCCGACACTCAGCAGGAACCTGTCGTCTGGCGAGAAGCGCAGTCTCGTGGCCGTGAGAGAGTGTGCAGTCAGGGGCGGCCTGACCTCGGTCCACCGCTCCGTCTCGAAGATGCGGATGACGGCGTGGTTGAGCGAGCTCGCCTTGCAGGCACTGGCGATCAGCTTGCCGTCGTGGCTAGCGGCCAAGCAAGAAATCTCGTAGCCGTGGCCGTACAGCTTTTCCGTCTCGGGCCAGAGGGTGTGCCGCGACAGCGACTCCTCAAAGGGCGGATGGTCGATGTCGAGCATGGACTTGCGCACGATGGTGGCCGGGTCAATGGCCTCGCGGTCGTACTGGCTGTCGGCCTGGACTTGCTGGTCGTCGTCGACGGCGTCGATGGCCTTGTTGGAGAGGCCGAGCACGGGCATGTTGGCACCGTCCGGCATGGACTCAGCGGGCGCATCCGTCTTGATCCCGCCTAGGGTTTGGAGCATCTGCGCCACGGCGCGCGGCTCGCTGAAGACGCGCATGAGCTTCTCGTCGGCGCCCGAGATGAACTGCGACGCGCCGAGAGTGTCGATGCAGTTCAGGTCGTAGCCGTGGATCTGGGGGCGGGACATCTCGTGCCACGAGCGGGCCGCGTCGCGCTTCCAGCAGGCGTGGAGGCGGGTTGTCTGGTCGGAGCTCGTCGACATGAGGTAGTCTCCGTCGCGCGACCACGCGATGCCCGTGACGGTCCTGGTGTGGCCGGTGACGGCGATGGCCGGCTGCCACTCGTCGCGGTCGTCGTTGTAGACCCAGCGGCGCCAGCTTCCCGTCCGGCCAAGGCAGACGACAGACTTGCCGTCAGGGGCCCAAAGGCCTGTCCAGAAGCCGCCGATGCTGCCAGTCGCCGTCGTCGCGCCCTTTTCTCTGCTGATCTCGCCGAGCCTTACCATGCTCACCCAGATTCCGGACGCGGTATCAGCCTCCCACATGGCGAGGGAGTTGTCCGCGGACGTCGACAGCAACTGAAGCTTGCCGTTCCGGGTGAACCATTTTGCGCTGTAGATCCAGTCCTCGTGGCCCAGGAGCAGGGCCTCGAATGTGATGGAAAAGTCTTTGCCGGCCGATTGCAGACGGTGAGCCTTGTTTGAAGGAGACTTTCCTGGTAAGTAGGCACCGCTGGAAGGATCCGAGCCCTCTGCCGCGAGCGACGGCAGCTCCTTGCCCAGGTGGAGGCGCCATAGTCGGACATACTTGTCCTGACTCGCTGAGGCGAGAAGCAGATCGCTGTTCGACTCGGCGTTCTCCCATGTGAAATCCAGAGACCGAATCCAACCCTCGTGACCCGATAGGGTAGCCTGCAGCTTGAAGTCGAGTGTCTCCTCGGTCGCAGCGGCCACGAAGATCTGAACGAATGTCTTGGTTCCCGCCGCCGCCAGGACGAAGACGTCCTCAGCATCATCCAGCGCCGTCAGAGCCAAGCACAAGGGGAAGTACTTGGGGCTTGTCTTGATGGTTTGACGCAGCTGCAGCTGGCCCTCAGTGAGTTGCCAGATCTTGATGGTCGCATCGGCAGCCCCTGAGGCTAGGAGCACCTGTTTTGGGGCGCGTCTCGACTGGAGAATCGCTATGCAGTTGACGGGCGCCGAGTGATCATGTATCGTCTGCACGCATTCTCCCTGGTTGGTCTTGGGGTCCAGGGACCAGACCTTGAGCGTCTGGTCATCGGAGCCGCTGACGAGGAGTCTGCGGTCCTCGCCGTCCACTTGGGGGAGGAACTTGACTGCTTTGACGACCTCCTTGTGCCCACTCAGAAGAGAAATAATGCCTTCATCATTTTGAGACTACTCAATGCTCGTCAGTCAGGGGAGCCCACGGTAGCAGACGGAGTAGCGCTTACAGATGGCGCCCACAGGGCAATGTTGGAGTCTGCACCAAAGGCAAGGAGACCACATGGGCTCCAGTCAGCAACAGCGGTCTGTCTGTTGGCTCCTGTAGATAGGTACTCGATAGATGGTTGAGCGGCCATCATTTTGTCCCTTGTCGTCGCGGGGTCTGTTACGTCGACGAAGTGACTCTGAGGGTTAACAAAATGCGGCGACGTGATTGGCTCATCAGCGAGATTCAAGAGGTGAAGTTGAAATTTTTCTTAGTGGTGGGGGCCCGGGGGAAACGGGCCCTGGCTTACAGCGGGCTACAGCGACGTTTGGTCGAAGCCGAGTGGTTAAGCCGCCGCACCGTTTGCTCCACAGGCGCCCGGCAGAGGCTTGCACCTGCCACCGGAGCGCCCAAGTGTGCCCTGGCGCGTTGAGGACAGGGCTACGGCTCAAACATCCAGCGTCTGTTCGATACCCAGCCCAGGCCCTGATGCCCCTTCCCCGTCCATATCCCTACCGTGCCTTACATCTTCCCTACATCAGTCCGTGCTGTGCTTGAGCCTGGAACCTGACAAGCAAACAAACTCTATTACGATTACATCTCACATTTCATATCTATTCTCCGACGTCTCACACAGCTGCCGGCACTCTGGACTTCGTCATATATATTTTTCCTTGATCCGACAAAAGAAACGGAGAAGAAGGATGGCCGCAGACGCTGCAGATGCGGGGGAGAAGATCTCCATTGTCGTCGAGTTCTCGTGAGTTGCCTCTCACCCCACTTTCCAGACATTCCTTGCGTTCTTCTATACGGGCTCCATCTCCCGGACTTTGGCCTGAGACCTTTCTCACACAGTCTGGATGGGGTGCGGCCGAAGGAGCGCTTTCGTTTGCATCTTGCATATCGGTTAGGGGAGATATAGAATGGGTTATGCTAATGAGACCCATTGTAGCGGCGGCCTGGAGATGCTCTTCTCGGATCAGCGGCGCCATGCCCTCTCCATCCCGGCGGTGAACAAGGATGGCAAGCCCGCAACCATTGCCTTTCTCATCAACTATCTCTGCGAGAACACCATGAAGGACTCGAGGAAGGAGCTCTTCGTCCTCGATGGTCATCTGTACGTATCGAAGCGGCATCGCCGTCTCCATCCTCCAGCATGGCTTCATTTCGGCGACATCAACTTAACCATGGCTCTCCTATCCTCACCCCAACCTTGACCTTGCATGAGTGCATCGCCACTCTTGCAGGCTCTTTCATGGAATCTACATCTTGGCCGTGCAGACTCGTTATTTCGGATGCAACGCTAACGCTGTCTCTCCAGTCGACCTGGTATCCTTGCTCTTATCAATGATGCAGATTGGGAACTTGAGGGAGAGGAGGCGTACGAAGTCCAAAGCGGTGACAACATCCTCTTCGTCTCGACGCTTCATGGAGGTTAGAGAGGGACTCAGAAGGGGCGTGGGCGATTCCCAGACCAATGGCCTCTCGGCAAGATGGGGCCCTGCAAGTGATTACGGCCGTATCTCTGGGTCGCTGGAATTAGCAAGATGCATCCCCGGGGGCCTGGCGCGGATAGAACGACGTTGAAACTCAGACGCCCTCCCACCCCCCCATCTCTCGCTTCTTGCAGCCGCATCGCATTTGCATCAACTAGTTTTCGGCCGTAGCCGACAGCCCGGCCGGCGGGGAGACGCATGTCGTGCTTCCGCCGTTAGTCTCTTCCTCTCTCTGCATGTTTGCTACAAACACACCACACCCCGACGTCCATCATTATATCACCATCGACGTTATGAAACGTCCCGGGATATATGTTCCCCTGATCCTCGTGGCCCTGCAAATGCCACCCACCGCCTTGCTTGCCGCATGTCTTGTGGTCGCATCATGGTGGCAGCTTCTTCACCCCTCATGTTCCCCTTGCTGAATGCGGAGTTCCCAGTCGCTTCAAATCATTTCCTCGTCATCTTAATCTCCCTATGCAACATCTTTCATGGGACGGCGCGTGGGGTGGACCTCCGGGAAGCTTGTCAAAGTCGCAGGCCCTACCGCGCGCTACCTTGGACTATATGGGATGGCGCTACGTTGGCAATTGTCAACCTGCTTTGGCGTCACGCAGGGCGGTCGTTGGTACCTAGTTGGAGGGGGCGGTCAAGGGTTCATATCCAGTCGCTCACTATCTTTCTGCGGCCGAGAAGACGGGGGTGAGAGGGGACTGGATCGGCAGTCTCCCATCTGTACATTCGCCAGCCTCAATAACTGCTGCATGGTGACGGGCAATGAAGTACCCTTGCTGTGCGCCTGAAAACGAGGCCGTCATCAAACCTCTCATTGAGCACCTATGCAACCCCGACACCTGCGAGGACCAAATTATCGGCAATCTCTCGGCCCTCCCCGTACGAGGCGGTGAAGAAATTAGGGGACCCGTCATGGTGATCGATGGTGTGCACTTGCAGTAGTACAGTATCGCTGCAGCCCTTTGGGTATTCGTGTCTATTCCTGCTGCTGGCTACAGCGCTGTGCGTCCTCTACCATACTGCAGGAAAAAGCAAATTCGGAAAGATGCAATGATGTCCTCACGCCCTCGCCGTACGCAGATAGTTAGAGAAGCGGACAGGGACAGAGCTTCTAGAAGGCCAATTCTCGGATACACACCCACCTCGAGCCCCCCCCCCCCCCACACACACACATGGCAACCTCGTCAGATGAGCTCTAAACGGGTTTTTGTTTTTTCCCTAGCCCTGTCATACGGTATTCCAAATCCAGTCGAAGACGTAACCGTTCCATCGACAGGGTGCACCTTAGTGAGGACTAGTTGTGGGACGCGAGCGGACGGAATTAGCAACATCGACTGAGTGGAACCGGCCCTTTACTTCCCAGATATAGCGCAGGGTTCGTGGTCGGATCTTGTGCTCTCCTGCTTGCACCTGCTGGTAGGATCCCTTTCTAGGCGGTTTGAGATCCTGCCGGCGGCTGTTGTGTCCAGGGGATTGGTGACTTTTGGGGAGAGGTGCGTTGGAATATCATGTGGCGATATGTTTGAGAGTCAGACATGGAGAACATCAATCGATCAGGCACGTGGGTTGCACAAATACTTGACTCTGGGGTGGTGCCGGTATTGAATCACTCCTGTGACCTCTTGGTCAACGTTGGAGTCGTTTCCTAGGGGTGGGGGTGGAGAGAGTAAGACCAACGGTGACCGAAAGAAATGTGATAACTGATGTAATCGAGGAATGGAACGAGCGTGTGAGATGGTAGTAATCGAGGTGGCATACTGGTTGTCTGTGTCTTTTCTCTGACAACTAGTCCGACTGTTACATGTGTCTTACCAGAGTATGCGTTCGCCATTCTTGTCGACCGTATTTTGTCCCAGTCTGGGGGATATGAGACTAAAGTAATAAGAGCAAGAAAACAAGACAGTGGTAAAATGTATAGAGGTAACAGTCTGATCGTCTCCATCGTTTGCGCGACTGCTTGTTAGACTGTCAGACCACTGAATTTTGTGAGCCCGAAAACAAGGATAACGACGTATTTTCCTCCAGTTTTCACCACAATTCGTTCCTAGTATAGCTTTCAAGTGTTTGAAAGAATCTACGGCGTGTTATGTAATTAAACTAGTATAGATATAAGCGATATTGGAGTCTTATTTACTACGCACAGGGTAGTTTGTCTAAGGTAAAACCGGCATCTTTATCTTGTTTGCGGGTTTATTTACGCTTTGGGTCGAAGCTGAAGTTGTGGCAGAAGTATGAGGTCTTACTTGGCCAGGCGAGTTTTGTGGATTGTCGTGTTATTCAAAATACTCCTGAAGAAGGAGAAAGGAAAAAACTATGGGATGCAGTATTAGATAGTGAGACTTAGGCAACGTCTTTGGTTGGATGTTGCCGAGACGGCAATACTATCTTCACCAAACGCAGCATATCCAGAGATATAACTGTTGTGGTTGCTGTATTGATAAAGGGCTGGCACTTTGTCTCTAGTAATTACATTCGAACAATGACGACTGAATGTAGGTGAAGTATAACTAAGGTAAGGATGCGAAATCAAGCACTTGGGAAACCTGATACTTCGTAAAACAGCACTCGATGAATCAGCTGGAGATTACATAGATGCGTAGGAATAAGAAAACTCAACCATAGGGAAGCAACTGACTAATCCAAGAAGAAGAAACGACCCAATTCCTGAACAAGCCCAAAGAGGAGGACAGTGAAGCCTAAGACTATGAAAACACCACGAACTGTAAGTTTGGTCTGTTCGCCCGGGAATCAACGCACCCTGTCTCGGGTATTCGCTTCTTCACTTTAACATTCCATACAATTAGTACTTCTTGCGGGTCTGTGTCTGTAGTGTTAATGCTGACGCTGCTTTTTTGATATGAGATGATCATTGTTAGACGACGTGTTTCTGAGTCTGTAATGCGGACAGAAGGGTGCCGGACCGAAGAACGAACAGCATTGTTGCATTTGGGATTTACTCTAGGCTTTGGAGTTTCCAGGTTGACGATTCGTGGCCAGTCATCCATGACAGCATATCTTATGGCTTGACTTGTGATAGCTTTGAATATATTGGTGCTGCCACTGCCTCGAGCTTTTTCTGTACTAGCAGCATCCTGTAATAAGTCTAGCTAGTTGTAAAGGGCTTTGTATCCTGAAACAGCGCAAGCTCGCCAACCTAATAGCGCATAATTACCTAGGTAGCATCGAGCAAGTTATCAGTACGTCTCCTGGCAACAGTCTCAGGATACCATATAAAGTAAGGTTTTACTGTTTCGACCGGCATATTTAGTATGTTGTTGCTGATGAAGAGACCGATTTTGCTACCTCTGGTGTCAAGGTCCTTGCCCGAGAAAAAGTCGATCACCCTTGGTGACTCGGCAAACCTTTCATTATGTTGAACCCCCCGAGTAACGAAGTAACCACGCCAGATCTCGATAGACTGCGGCATTTACTTTCCACTTAAGCAGTTCTAAACTGTCTTCGTTGTTCCTTCATTCTGATTATCCACTACTTACCGCACCTGCGTGGTGTCCGGAGCTAGGGTTGGAATTTGGGTAATCACGGGTACCCATGAGTACCCACGCACATGGGCTGAGTAGTATGATTTACCCATATAGAGATTCCATTTACTAGAAGATCCTACGTCCGAGTTCATGGGCTA